ATATTTACGCACTACCGTGGGTGATAAAAAGCAAAATGATCTAATGATACATATTGTTGAAAAAATAAAAGTTAACAATACCTATCTAAAAGAAACTGTAGATGTATTTGATAAACTTAAAAATCGCCGATGTTTGTTTATTTAAATTTGAAATATTTATTTTATTTTTTTAAGCACTTTGCTTTTACAAAACTTATAAGTAAAAAAAATAAACTCGATTGCGTATGAAGTTATATACCCGTTGTCAAATTTATTAATTTTACTATATACCTAATAAATATCAGGTAAAATATGTACACTTCAATAACAATCAATATAAAACAATAAAATATACCTAATGAAAATAACTAAATAATAGTAAAATAATTAATGAATAATTAAAATTATCAATAAATTATTAATAACACTTAATATTTCGTACAAAATCATGTAGTTAAAAATCAAGTAAAATCGTACGCAATCGTATAGCTTAAAAAGGTACCACCGATAACGAACGTACGTAATTACGTAATCGTGTTTTACCTATATTAAGTACTTTTTTATTTGTTGCTGCATTTCTTTTTCTAGCTTTTTATGCATCGATTATTGGTTTTCGCTGTTAAAGTAATTAATTATTTATTATATTTTAGTTTTTAATTGATTTTTACTATTTATGTTTGTACAATGATTCAATATAATGATTTAATACAAATGATGTATACAAATAAATTAAAACGGGATAATGTACGAGTACATATACGTACATTTATTTTTAAATGGCCAGCTTAAAATCTTGTACACCCAAAAAAAAAAAAACCTGAAAATGACGCCCCTGGTTATATCCATTGACTATATTTATATATTATTAAGTAAATCTATTCAGTTACTTAAAACTTTCTATGTAATATACATATTTAATATAAAACATCACCAGAGACGTAAATTAGATAATTTAAGCTCTTCCTAAATCAACTGTGGTTCCCTAAAATTCAAACAATTTATAGAAATACGTTTATATGTCGGTGTATTTAATTTGTTAATGAAATAATAATTTATATTTAATATTTAAAATACATATGTACATTATTATTGCTAGAATTATAATAATATATACAAAAATTCATTATTTTTAATTTAATAAACATAATACCATAGTTTCTTCAATACATACTTCAATAATTTTCATCTTAAAGAATGTACATGTTCTTTACACCCGTCGTATTAAATTAATAATATCTTAAAGTATTAACTCTCCTCTCTCATATAGCCTTCAAAATTTAAAACTTAATTTATACCTATGATCATAATAAAATTATTAATTTAATATAAAAATTTAAAAAATTAAAATTTTTATTTTAAGATATAAGTTAATTAATTTACATAATATAGATTTGAAAAGCCGTATAATATTATAGTAACCAATACAAATAAGTTAAATTATTGACTAGATAATGAGTGATGATACCATTGACTATTGACATAAATTTTTCAAGAACTTAGATTTATTGAATAAAAACGGTAAATTATTCTTATTTTTTTTTTTTTTATCGAAAATTACACGTGGGTAAAGTTAGCCTTCCACATCAAACTTACACCAATATTTCGTAACTATTTGAAACAGTTTTCCAAATTTTGAACTACGTACTTTTTTGGAAAATAGATAAACTTTGATTAAAAAATGTATTTATTTTATGTCAAAATAATTAAATTCAAACTCATTACTTAATTATTTTAGTCTTATTAAATGTATATGGTCTATTTCTTTTATTAGTTTATTAGTTAAGTATATAATGTACTTTAAATAAATTAAACATGAATCATTACATTTGTGGATTATACAAGTAACTATTAATATATACAATATTATATATATATATAATACGATTATAACCATATATCACGTTAATATAATTAAATATGTATCTCTATTTTCAGTAATCTCCTCTTCTCATATAAGTATATAACCAGTAGATAACCAAAACTATAGGTAGTAAATTTTTAATTTGTAAACAAAACTGGTAAGTAAGTACCAAACTTAATGTTCGAAGAGAAAATTATATTTATGAATTATATTGATATGTAAATTCATATACAAAAACTAATTTAAAAAAAAAAAAATTTAAATATTTTTAGTTTAATTTCAGTACATTTACTAAATACAATTTTTATAGACATCATAATCATTTTTTCTGACCCTACAGCCTACGGCTTAAAATTACCTTAAATAACTATTTTTTTTTTAGGATTTTACCATATATATACAACTACAACGCCATTCAGACCCCACTCAGACTAGGTATGTCTCCAAAACCAAAGGATCAACGTAACATAAAACGCTGTACCTGCTAAATGCGACGAGACACCCTAGTCATCATAAGGAACCCCCTATATTTTTATGCCTAAGGGGACTAAACAATACAGCATATGCGTATTGAAAATCTCTGCACGATTTGAGAAACAGTAATAAATAAAATAATATACAGCCGTTGTCAATTTTGTTGAACAATTTTCACATTCATCAATTTTTCATTTCGGGGAAGACTTTCTAATGGCCATAATATAATACGTATGTAAATGTGTATATATTTTTTAGCCTTCAATTCCAGATATACAAGATTAGGCATTTTATATTTGTATTTTGTATATTATAAGTGAAAACGTTATTGTTACTGAAATACTATAAAAATAATGTACAAAACGTCCTTACGTCATCACCGTCACCAGTCACTATCGTCAACCGCATTACATTTTTAGTAACAAATAACAATGCCTAAGCAAAACGGCCATACAGAGTTCTCCTCACCTGTATTTTTCTCGTAGACTACTGCTGCGGGTATAACCATACGCTGCGACGAAAACCTACGAAACCGATTGGACCGTAACGCGTTGCATTTGATACAACATTGCCGTGTATAATTATCAGGTATATTTTACGCAGCGGAGCACACTATATTCACTTTCTCGTTGAAAATAACCGAAACTACATTCTCAAACAGTTATAATTTATACGCCTACGATTGTATTTTTCCATAAACCTACAAAATACGGTACGGGCACACTATAGAATCGATGTATACAGAACACATAGCCACTGTCTGCATACCACACGAACGGTTTCGCCGGGCTACATTCTATCTCGAATGCACACGCAGAGAACGATATAAAAATATAACAAAATAATAAACGGATACCTACGCACAACTCGTTTCGGCGCGTCGTGAAACGTGACTCCCGCCGCTCGAAGGCCGCAGCCGGGTACACACCTAACTGACGTAGTGATGTACTACCTGCCGCTGCGATCGCCGCGCCATCGGTCATCGCGATTCGTCCGCGTCTGTCTTTCGCGCGCTCACAAACCACTAACCAGTGTGGGGCAATCACTTGCGGTAATGAACGGTCGGGCATTCGCTAACCTTCCGTGCCGGAACGTCTTTTCGTATATTTCTGGTAACCGGCTCGAATAAATCGTCTCGTTCTACACCCGTCCGCGAAATATATTATCGCAAAACAATTACGTAAAAAATATTTATACATCGAGATACGCGCGTATGGTGATCATTGTACGATAAAAAATACCTGTATAATTGTGCACGCGCTTATTGCAGTGGCGTCATAAGTCATAACAGTGTTTCACGTTTCACGTGTGGGATTGTGCCGATTATGGGATAAAGCAAACTCATCATAATATTTCAGTAGGCGCCTTTGTGTATTATATAAACATATAATACAGTAATGCATAATATATTATAATATAATACACATATTGTATCCTTGTGTGTTCTACTGCGAATGACGCCACTGTCACCTCTGACCTATACGGCGGAGTGTAATTGTGCATAGCTACGGCCTACGCATTTAATTTGCTCACCATATTATGGTGTTATTATGGCGGAGGACGATTAATATTTCGATAATAGTAATTATTATATAGGTATTATTATTTTAGTTGTATGCTCGGTTTTCACAGATCGTTACATTACTATACACCATAATATTAGTATATTACAAGTGTTAATATTATATACTACTGCCGTAGTGATGTTATGTATGAAATTGGAAAAAAAACGATTTTTTCATACAGTTATAATTTCCTGTATTAAAGTAAAATCATTTATGAATAATTATAATTGTTACTTATTGACATATTTAGTCGCGATATTCTAAACACTTTTTGAACATTTGTGTGTGAATCTTCACTTATTCACAATATTTATAATAATAAATTCAATTTATAATGAAAATATTTTCAGTACCTATACAGAAATAATATACAATTTATGTAATTTGATGCAGAAATTGTTTTGATTTGTTCTATAACTTTGTATGATTAAACCAAAAATTAAAAAACCTTAAAGTAGGTACAGAAAATCTTTAAAAATTATCTATCGTAGGTACATATATGACTAGAAAGTAGAATTACAAATAATGAATTTTAATGGATAGAAATATTTTTTTTACATTATTTATGTACTTATTAGTTATTCGGAATAACTAATAACCTCGGAATAAGTTATTTCCATGAACATAGATAATTATTATTATTGGTTAAGACAGTTATAGCCTAAAAAAAAAAAAAAGAAAAGTATAAAAAACCAATGTAGATACTAAAGTCTAATTAACTATATTTAAAACGCTATTGAATTCGAATAGCTTTTAAAAAATAAAATTAGGTATTTATAAGAGGATTTGAATTCCAATGATTAAGGCACTTATAACTCTGGAAGAAGATACTATTATTTTTATTCGTGATAAAAAAAAATTCATGCTTTTATCAGTTAAGTTATTCAACGCTCTTAATTTTTATCACAAGCATGCTATATAAATATATATTATATGATACTGAACATAAACATTAAACATTCAACTTAGTGTAAGAAAACACCAAATTTGTAAATATAAATTAACAAAAAATTGTTTTATGATTTAATTAAGCTTTTAACCTCGAATTAAGTGTGTAAGATTATATATTAACGATTATAAACAAGATCTATAATATACATTAAACATTGAATATAAATTATATCTAAGTAGTATATATAGTATTTAAGATGAATAACACTACATCATGATTCATAATTATTTTATATTTTAATAGTACTGGTAACCATTATATATTTATATTATTAAAATATAATGATATAAAACAAAAACTACAACATTTTTTCAAGTGTTTTTTACATCTATATAACTATTGTCGAAATTTGATATTATCACATCATGGTAAGTCATTATTTTAATTATTCTAAGTTCTAACATTTTACAAAACATTGTTTGTTTTATTATTTCTCAGGCTAATGACAATGAAGAGGTGTGTGAAAATTTGTCAAAAGTAAAAATTAATGAAGAGGATGATAATTCTGAAGACAATTCTTCATCAGACAACAGTAGTGGTTAGAATATAATTATATAAAATCATAAAAAAATTTTATTAATTATACTTTTTTTTTTTTACTTAATTAGAAACTAGTGAAGATTCTGTAGAAATTGAAGTACCTTTTAAAGTTGGTATGTGGGATTTAAAACAGTGTGATCCAAAACGATGTACTGGAAGAAAATTAATGAGATTAGAACTAATTGACAAACTTGGAATGTCTGCTATGTTTAATGGTATCGTTCTAACACCTGTTGCTACTGAAGTAAAATAATTATTTAGATTATTAATTCAATTAATGCTTACATTTAATACTGTGTAGAGTGTTTCAGCTAAGGACAATCAAATTATAGCAAAACATGGTGTGGCTGTTGTGGATTGTTCTTGGGCACGACTAAATGATACTCCATTTCACAAGTTACAGCATAGAAAAGCCAAAAAAAACTTGCGATTATTGCCATATCTTGTTGCTGCTAATCCAGTTAACTATGGACACCCTAGTAAGCTTTCTTGTGTTGAAGCTTTAGCTGCTGCTATGTATATTGCTGGTTTCAAGGAAATTGGTGATTTATACATGTCCAAATTTAATTGGGGTCCAACATTTACACGCCTCAATCAAGAATTATTAGATGGCTATGCTGATTGTAAAGATGGAAAAGAAATTGTTGCTTTTCAAAATCAATATTTAGATCAACTAGGTAAAGTAATACTAAAAATTATATGCCATTTATACATAGTTTATTAATTATTGAAAATATTTTAGATAATAATTACCAGCATGCCATTAGTAGTACAGATTCAAGCAGTGACTCGAGTGACAATGATGCAGATACAACTGTATAAAATCAATAACTTCATTAATATCATTAATACAAATTTTATCATGTCTTTGAATATTTTCTGTAATAAAGACTGATAAAAATAATAAGTATGCTGTCTTTATTGTATTACAACCAGTAGTTTATTATGAATAATATCATTTAGTTTATCTCAATACTAAAATGTATGCACAGTTAAAACTTAAAAAAAGTTAATTTGAATTAACTAAATCCTACAATAGCATAGTCCTACTCTTCCGTGGTGCTAATGTTTATGCACACATTAAATCTACATCATACACAGCTAAAAATAAATAAATTATAAAATTATTACGATAAATTGATTATTCATATTGTCTAAAATAATATTTGTGTATTATTGAAAAATCAACAAAATTGTTCACAAGGTATACTACAATACTAGATATAGGTAGATTTCTCATCTAAAAATTTTAATACTACATAATATAGTGTTTTTAGTTATTACTATTTATATTATAGCATAGACTGTGATTATAGTAACTACTGTTTACTATTTTTTATATTTAAATTTTAATGTATAGCTTAAAAATTAAAATATATTTCTGCATTTGATTAATTGAAAAATTGAAAAATAAAATTATATTCTTATGCTAATTATGAATGAATTAGTGTATAGTAAATTTACAAACTATTAATCTTTATAGATATAATATTAACTAATTAAGGCTATGGTGCTTAAGATCGTAAATTATCTGTAAACTGTGTTTGAATGTTCTAACTCTGTGCATTGATTTTGATAATTTTTATCAAAAATACTGCCAACTTTGAGCAAAATATTAGTTTTAAGTGAATTTTAAATTGCATTTATTATTAATAACTTTATTAACTAAAATTGTTTTGTTGGTTTATAATAAATTAAAAATATTACTTTTGTTTTTATACATAAAGTGAAAAATAATTCTATACCAACAAAACTTTGTAGGATGCTTTAAACAAGAACTAGCAATATTACAATAACATTTATGTATAAACAAGGATAGTAGAATTTTAAACTTAAAAAAATTCACTAAGACATTTGCTTATTTAAATTAAATTATAAATAAAAGATTTAAATTAATCTTTTATACACATAACATTATTACTAATGCAATATCATATGGTATTTAAAGAATGAGAAACCGAAAATGTTAACCAATAATTATTTACAAAGTAAAAAAGAAATTATTTTATATTTTATTCATCTATTTAAGAATTAGACTAAAAATAATTGAGAAAAGTTCCAATTCCAATTTTCTATAGAGGATATCCTACACAAAAATGAATAATGATTGTAATGATTAACAACCATTCATTTTTAGTAATAAAATAAAAGAAAACAACTGTTTCCAAACAACAATAAAAATTATAATATAATATTTTGAGTAGGAAAAGGATATATATATTTTGGAAATGAACTGTAGTAATAATTAGAATAAATTAAATTAGTAATTAAGATTTAAAAATGAAATGTCTTGAAAATGTAACATTTAATTTTCGTTTAAATTGTTGTAACGTATTAAATGTTTTGCACAAAAAAAAAAAAAAATATGCATACATCCAAAATTTTTTTTTTTACAATTACATAAAATGAATTTCACAATATCACTAAATGAATTGTCTATTCTTATCCGCTCGTTTGTAAATAAAAAATAAAATATTAACTTAAATATTCATTGTACACACAAGTATAAATATAGACATAGTATATATGTGGAGTATTTAAAACCCATTGAAAATAAATTGCTTGCATTATTTGCATATTAAATTTATACTATTTAATTGTTTCACAACTATTAACCGTACAGTATATATTTATACATGCATATAATTGTTTTTTTTTTTTTTATAAAATTATGGGTACAGGACAGTTGAGTTATACTCTAATCATTAAAAAATAAAAAAATTGACATTAAAATATTCAATTTAACATAAGTTAAAATGAACCATCCACATTATGGTTATAAGTTATAACTGAAAATAATAAATAAAATAATTTTACAGATTATTATTATTGCTAATTGCATTTCAAAATAAACAAAGTATATAATACAAATTATCATTGTTAACATACAATTGAAAAGCTGTTACTAATTATATCAAAAAAAAATATTAAATCACAAATGTTATGTGAACAGTCGTACTCATTTTCGGTTTAATATAACAATTATGCTTCATCTTGTTCCACCTTTTCATCATCATCACCTGCTAATTCAGCTTCTTCCTCTTCTAATTCTTTCTTGGCAGCCTCTTCGACTTTAGGATCTCTAAAATAGGTTTTGATTGTTGATAATAATTATTTATTTTTTTAAAAATAAAAATTTAAAAATTAAGAACTTACTTCTTAATTTTGTCTTTGTAAAATTCTATAATGTGTTCTTTACGTGTTTGCTGTATAAATGATACAGGTGCAGAGTAATACTGCTCTTTAACATTAGAACCCCAACCAGAATACTAAAAAAAAATAAATATTGTTTAAAGCAAATTATAACCATTATTGACTTGGTATGAATAAATTATTTTTATGAATGATAATAATAAACTTACAACAGAAGTATTTTTGTATAATACTTTACCATCCTGTTTGAAAGGAACATACTTTTGTAATAATGCCTTGCCATCAATTTTCCATACAGGAGGGTTACCCTTACCAATCATATCAGTCTTAAGTACGACAAATGCTCCAGACTAAAATACATATTTAAAAATTAATTCAAGCTACCAAATTTAATATTGAAAATAAAATATATAAATACAGTAAACTTTTTAGCTGGTTTTGCGTTTGGTCCTTGATTAAGTTCTTCTTCTTCTTCTTCTACATCTTCATCGTCTTCTTCTTCTTCATCTTCATCCTCTTCATCTTCCTCTATATCCTCATCCTCATCAAATTCTTCATCTTCTTCCGGCTCTTCTTCAGGCTCGACTTCTTCTTTCTTAGCTTTTCCTTTAGCTGCTCTTCCCCGACCTCTAGCTGATGTTGGTGCTGGTGCTGGTGCAGCTGTTTTAGGTTTTGATCCCCTTTCTTTTTTAGGTAATATTTCTTCTTCGTCTTCATCTTCAGAAACCTTTGGTTTCTTCTTTCTACCAGGTGTATTTTTGGCTGGTCGTCCTCGTTTACCAGGAGTTTTTGCCTAATAAATAAATAAATAATTTCACTATTTATTTATCAACATAAAACAACTTTAATAAAACATACAGCAGCTGCAGGAGCCCATTCATCATCAGAATGGTCTGCCACTTCTTCCGGTTCATCTACTTCAAATTCATTTTCTGAGTCACCTGCAACAACTTCCTTACTCTTCATCATGACTGAAAATATAAATTCAGTTTAATTAATGTTAAACATCTTACATCTTATAACTTAAGTAATTATTTTCTTATATTCAAAAGACCTGAGCCTAGATATTATTTGCTAGTGCTAGTATTAATAGGAATTTTGAATTTAAAATAGTAAAAAAATACTAATATTTACAGTTATAAAATTTTAAAAATCAACCAATTATACACAGGAATTATATTTTGAGCACAAAATTTGATATTACCAATAGCACGCTTAACTCTTTAACTTAATAAAAATAGACCATAAAATGGAAGATAAAAATAAACACTTAAACACTAACTAATCTTTTTATTTGCTTAAAAAAAAAAAAAACATAGGAGCGTCTAATGCAATAAAATATCTAAACAGAAATTATATCTACTAATCCTATTCTCAAGTTTTAACTTTTAATTAATAATACATTTTTAATTTATGCATCCATGCTAAGGCCCACTTGTACTTTTCCTTCCTAGACATGGAGTTGTGTAAAATCATTCCAAATTAATTTAAACTTTCCAATCAATTAATTCACTAAGATTAATAGCCTTTACTTATTGTTATGTTATGTAATATAGCATAAATTCAGAGTATTAAATATTTTTGAAGTATTGATAAAAATTAGCCCAATAACTTTAAATAAAAATATATGTAAAAAGGTATTATTTAACACATTAGTATATCTATTAGGCAATTAATGTAGTAATGATTATATCCAATTTCCGGCAAGCTAAATTTAATTTTATAGTCTGCATACCCAATAATTGTGGTAGTTAAATAGAGGTTGTTGGAAGTTCTAAATGGGACTAAAAGAAACTTTTTTTATTTAAGTTTGGCAGTTTATACAGGAAAATTAACTATAAAAAAAAAGGTACATTAAACGCAAATAGACAATATCAAAATATAAAAGACTCGGAACTTTGATCACCTTTATGGTTTAATCTATTTATTTTTATATTTATTGAAACTGATATGTTTGAAAGTATAGTATTTTATAATATACAGTTTAACATTTATTTTCATTTTCTGAAACATTAAAGTTAGTATTAAAGTTATACGTTATCTCGTGTAGATAAACTGAAATTATAAATAAAATAAGTTGACGGTGATTGAAATAAATTATGTCAATTAACTCTGAGAATATTTTCTAAACTGACATTAAGAAAATAAATAAGTATTAGTGCTTTTTGGAATACAAGTAATTTTTGTTAATGTTAAGAGACAGTTCTCTTAGTAAGTAGTAAGAATGCGTTTAGTACTTTTACATATCAATTAGTATACCTAGATGTATAAAATAATCTGATATTGATAATCCAACAACTAAATAATTAATAGGTACTATATTTGATATTTAACAGAACAATAAGAAAAAATAATGCAAATTAACAATATTCCTTTATTTCCTATTTACCCCTAAACAACTTTCAAAACGTTATCGTTACACACACACACATAAACACGAGTACAGGTTAACATTAAAAAACGGTGGTTGAGAGACACTTTAATGAGGTAAATGTTTAAGCAGATTCACCAGCAAACGATGATTGACGAACAAATTTATTAGCGTAATACAGTTAATACAACAATATAAACGTTCATAATACTTTGAACGGCTGACCGGCGAACTAAATCTAATCTCGTATTGCCACACCACGGTAGTAATCGTCCAGAAGATTAAAGTATTTTGACGATGTTCACGTCGTTAACGCGCACGTGGCAATGACAGCAACTGAATGCTGATCTAATGTATTACAATAGATACTACAATAGATACTTACGTTATTTTGACTCAGTCGGCGACGAAAAATTAGCTATGGTAATCAATTATCGACTATAACTGAGCACGACTAGGTAGTAGGTATCCGATGATGATATAAATAAATGCTTATCCTGGTCGACGATGATTGTTAGTACTCGGAGGACAGATAAACAAAACGAAAATTAAAGATAAATACGTTCAACAAAATTACAAGGAATACGGTTGATGGCCGGCAAATGATTAGAACGGCGCCGACAAAAACGAACGATGAAACGACGGAATAGCAAAGAGCATTAGTGAATACAACAACCGCATCAGACCGCGCCACCCAATAGCGCCGAATGCAAACAAACCAAACGCGGTTACGCGCAGTGTCACCGGCAGACACACGATCGATGACGGCGGAGTATGGTCACACTGCTTCACCGACGATTCCGTATATTATATAGAATAAATATAATACTGCATTCGATACCTTTGATTCATCGATCGATCGCCTGCGAAATCACACAATCGCATCTTGTAAGTGCACAGATAACCAATCTGAGATCACAATTTCCCATTTATATTAGCACACAATAATTGCCCTCAGCGTATACTCTATGATATACACTTCACACGGGATCACGGTCTTAGAAGATCTTCTAAGACCGTGCACGGGGTTAAGAAATGCAGATAATGAAGATACCGTTACCAGTTACCGCGCTTTCGGTAAACGTTAATCTATTGCCGAGCCACCCCACCACACTACACAGTACACAATGTACACATGGTCGTGTGGTATCTGACGAGTGACGGGGGCTCCTCCTCAAAAAACTGCTCCAGTGATGCTCGTCGTTTTTCAATCGCTTTTCAAGTCACCCTCATATCACCCCCTATCAAGGCCTGTGATGATAACAAAATACTAAATAGTTTAGTTCACTGTTCAGTGTTCAGCACAAATTAATATTATTATTGTGTTTGTGTGTTGTGTCCAACCTAGATCCTAGATTCTAGTGGATAGTGGGAAATATAGTCGTTATTCGTTACTCGTTGTCGTTAATGCTATTACCGAATACCGACGGCAATACGGCATCGCGAACGTCCGCCTCACAAACAAACTACTGTGAAATTGTTTATGTTAATATGTTATCAATATTCCATAATATTATACACCTGCTGACCTGCTACTGCTAGTGTAATTTTTGTTGAAAATAGTATTCCGCGGTACGAGTCTATCCGATTTTCGTCTGAAAAACCGATCAGTCACTATTATCGCGAAGTGTATTTAGATTAATTAAAAAAAAAAAACGATCGTTAGTTTAAATCGCGGTAAGTCCACAGCGAAATGGACGATTTCGTGGTATACTATAATATAGTCTGTAATTATGATAATCGTCGACGGATGACGATATTTTACTCGACTTATCGTATCCCGGAAACTAATCGAAATAATATGTTTTATTTTTACTTCGTTATTAGTCCCGGTTATCCGGATTTAAATGTTTATCAAGATGTGTTTAAAATTCAACCAAATCCGTGTTTAATCGATTTTAAAAGATGTATTGTAATCATTACTATGCATACATTATACATAATATTTTCATTGTTTGCTCTCTTTTCGGTGAAGTTTCAAAAAAAATATTTGTTCGTTTTAAAACGCCAACCGTTTTTGAGAAATACTACGTAATGGTGTGGCCGACAGCAATGATCTTATGGGATTGTGTTTGGAATGCAGATAGCAGTCTGTGTACTGTCGGTGTCAATTAATATATTACTTCATGCCTGTAGTATTTTTTTTATTTATTAAATAATCTGATCAAGTCTATAATTTATTTACTGGATCTTAACAAGGTACATTATTTCAATATCTTCTTTAAATGTACCTATCGCCCCTATGGATAACAAATGATTTAATTTTAATTGATACGTATGAATCAATAATAATAAAGATCCTAAATAATTGTCTAATGATGATTAAATGCATGTAAATATATACATGACTTGTATTGAATCCTATTCAGTGTATTTTTAAATTTTTTAAGCAGTTTAAATTTATTATATATTTTTGATAATCAAACATGAGGTATCAAATGATTTCTGATTTCATACTATCTACTTAAAAAATTTAATTTTTCTTATTATTTTAGGAAGGTATAGGTAGTTTTTTCTTATTTTTTACTTAAATTTTTATCCATAAAGATCCAACAATCATTATGATTTTAAAAAATAAGTATACTTATATTTTTAAAATTGTATTAATTAATGAAATTACTGTTTTTATAGTTATATCAATGGATGAAGACTCAATTAGTGTTCATGGATCTACTGCTGATTCCATTGAAGCATTTGATGAGCTCCAAGTGCTTGATGAAATCACTGAAGAAACTGACAATATTATTGAAGGTGATGACCAATTAGATCAAGAATTTGATACTAGAAGTGAAGCCAGTTCTAGTTCCATTGATGAAACTTCAGCAAGAAATAAGTTAAAATCGGAAAGATACATAAGAATAGACAAAGATTCATCAATTAAAAAAAAACCATCTGAAAAATATTTATCTCAACTAAAACTCTTGTTAAAAGAAGCTCGATTTTTCATTATAAAAAGTAATAATTATGAAAATATTGAATTGGCTAAAATTAAAAATTGTTGGTCCACAAGACCATGGAATGAGACAAAATTAAATCAAGCTTTCAGAACATGTAAGAATGTGATTTTGATATTTTCAGTTAAAGAAAGTGGTAAATTTGCAGGTAAATATTAAAATTTTAATTTTATGTGATTATTATTTATTATTTTCTTATTCCAATCTTTTTTTCTGATACTTCAGGGTTTGCTAGAATTTCTGAAGCAGCTAGGTATGATCTGTCACCAGTTGGTTGGGTATTACTTGGAAGTCGTAATTTATCAGGTGTCTTTAAAGTTGATTGGATTACTACAAAAGAGTTGGAATTCAATGATACTTCTCATTTATTTAATGCATATAATGAAGGAAAAACAGTCAAAATTGCTCGTGATGGTCAAGAAGTTGATGCTAAGACTGGATCACAATTGTGCTCAATGTTTTTAGAAGATGAATCAATTGATTTTCAGTACATATTAAAAAAAGCTAAAAATCATCAGCCTTCTATTAGTACAGCCGAATTACGACAACGACGTAGAGTGCTTGGTTTACCAGATGAAGGACCAACAACTAAAGAATACATACATGCTTACCGATTTGGTATGCCACATAAACAACTACCAAGAATGTTATCACATCCATATTATGTACGCCCACCTTTATATCCATCGTACCAATATAATTTAGGTGGATCACCTATGATACAACGTTATTATGACGATGTACCACTGCCACCTTTTCGGCTTCCCATACATGTACCAGATACATACACACGACCATTAGAAGTTTACTACAAAAGAGATAGATTAGTTAATCTCAGGGAATATCACTCAAGTCATAGACGTGAAAAAGAACGCCATACTCATAGACACCGTTATCATTAAAGTTTTTGAAAACATATTCAAAAGATCCTCCTTAGATTACTAATACTGAAATATTAGTATTAAGTTACTAGTCTTAAAAGTAAATACATTTTATTGTTATTATTTTTGTATATTTGGAAATTTTATCCTACTATAATATGTTGTTTATATAATTTATTATTATTAAAATTATTATGAATGGTTTTAAGTTATTATTTTATTTAATTGTAAGTAATTATTAAACTTACATTTGCTTTTTGCAATATTCTTATTGTTTTCTGACTTTGATCACTTTCATTTCTCTTTTGTAATACTTGATTTGTTTTTTACATTTTTTGTTGTTACAATACCAATTTATATACACATTTGTATTTGGTTATTGTGTTTTAAGTTTTTATAAGTGTTTGATATTGTAAATATATTTTTCTTTTTTTGATGTATATTGAACCTAAATTTAATTCTCGGCCTTTATTTTGTATGTAACTTAATTAAAATTATATATATTAAAATTCAAGAATATGGAACAATTAAATGATTTAATTTACTTATAACAAGCAAATTGTGTTAAAGAAAAATACAGAAAAAATAGATACAATGTTTATAATAAAAATTTTAAACTTTTTTAATTCAAATTCAATATAATTTAAAATTCATATTCTATCAGTATAAGATAGGCTTACCATTCGTCCCGGTTTGACTGGGACTATCCTGGTTTTAATAGCATGTCCCGGTATCCCAACCGGTCATTAATTTTGTCCAGGTTAATGGAAGCCGAGTTAAAATAACTTTAACATTGTATTATTTAATATCAAAACATGGAATAATATTATACATAATATCATTACATGATTATCGTATTATGTTATCTGTTTATAATTTTCATATAATTATACTAACATACTAAAAAAAAAGATTATTTTAATATGATGTCTTGGTTTGGTAATTTTAAAATCTGACAAACCTAGTATAAGACAATGAAAATATTAAATTTTAATCAGATTAATATGATAATTAATATTTTAAAATTGTTTATATTTCTTTTACTCTCGTTATATCTTATTTTAAAGTGTAATGCACAATAAAATTTGTTATTAAATCAAATAATTTTCTATCTTAATTACTTGTACATAAATTATAACTATGAACATAGATTTTAATGATTTAAACTTGATAAACTAATAAGTTTCAATTTTTCAATTTATGATTGTACTTACGACCATGACATACTAATGACTGGATTCTTTTTTATAGTATTCTCAGTCTTCAGTATATAATATAGTACTAAATCTTTCAATTTATTAAAAAAAAAGTAGCTTTTGTTACTGGATTTTTATAATTTAACAAAAATAAGTTGAAATTTTTAGGTAACCACACAAAAAAAAAAAAATTAAATCTTTTGGTCCCATATTAATATATTACATTTAGTAAATTAATCTAGGAGGACCAAAAAAAAATTAGGATATACCATTTTCATAAAAATTAATATGTTGGCATCTTGTCAAGTTAATAAAATTAGTTAAAAAATTATGGTTCTATGAGCTACAATTGCGATTTAAAATTTTACTACATGAGGTATATCTTAAATCGTACTACGAGTTAATTTTATGTGCATTGTATACTATTTATATATTAAATTATTGTATACTTATTCAAAAAAGTACTACCTATTTAACATTTGTTATAAACAATATAAACTAATTTTATCAATATAACTACGATTATAACTAAAATGATAATATTATATTAATTTATTATCAATAATCAGTATCATAGAATGATATCATTGAACAATTTTACAAATTTAGTAGATACTAGTTATTAACAAATAACAATTTCTTTAAAAAATATTTATATGTTAAAAGTTTAAATTAAACAAATTTGTAAAAATTACAAAATATTAATTGAAATAAAATGTTTAATTAATATTATATTAAGTGCCAAAATACATTTTTAAAATTTTTTCACTAAATCTGTCAATCAGCAGTTATTTTAAAATTTAAAATTTATAAATTAAGTTTGTTACAGTTCTTTTGTATTCTAATTTATGTAATATTTTATATTAAATTCTTATAAATAATTAAAATTCTGTTTGATTTTATTCTCTTCAATTTGTTAAATAGTAAATACCAATACTGTAATTATGAATATCAGCAATCGCATCATAGTTACTCCATTGGGAGCTGGTCAGGATGTTGGACGTAGTTGCATCTTAATAACAATTGGAAATCGAAATATTATGCTTGATTGTGGAATGCATATGGGCTATCAAGATGAACGCAAATTTCCTGACTTCTCATATATTACATCAGATGGTAATATTACAGACATAATTGATTGTGTAATTATTTCACATTTTCATTTAGATCATTGTGGTGCACTGTCCTATTTAACTGAGCACCTTGGTTATCATGGTCCTATATACATGACACATCCAACAAAAGCAATTGCTCCAATTTTATTAGAAGATATGCGTAAACATTTAGTTGAATACGAAGAAGAAGCAAAATATTTTACATCAAGTGCAATCAGAGATTGTATGAAGAAAGTAACTGCAGTGAATTTACATGAAGTTGTGACTGTTAAAGAAGATATAGAACTAAAAGCATATTATGCAGGTCATGTATTGGGAGCTGCTATGTTTTATATTAAAGTTGGAAACGACTCTGTGGTATATACTGGAGATTTTTCAATGACTCCTGACCGACATTTAGGAGCTGCTTGGATAGACAAATGTCGCCCAACATTACTTATAACAGAATCAACATATGCTACAACAATAAGGGATTCAAAGCGATGTAGGGAACGAGACTTTTTGAAAAATGTGCATGAATGTATAGATCGTGGTGGTAAAGTGTTAATACCAATTTTTGCTTTGGGAAGAGCTCAAGAATTATGTATTCTTATTGATACTTACTGGGATCGTATGGGTCTTAAAGTTCCTGTTTATTTTGCAGCTGGTTTAACTGAAAAAGCTAATAGTTATTACAAAATGTTTATAACTTGGACAAATCAAAAAGTCAGACAAACATTTGTTCACCGGAACATGTTTGATTTTAAGCACATTAAACCATTTGATAAGACATATATGCATAATCCCGGTCCTATGGTAGTATTTGCAACACCTGGTATGTTACATGCTGGTTTATCGTTGAATATATTTAAAAAGTGGGCACCTGATGAAAAAAACATGTTGATTGTACCAGGTTACTGTGTGTCTGGAACTGTTGGTAATAAAGTCTTAAGTGGTTCAAAAAAAATTGAAGCCGAACCAAACAAATTCATTGATGTTAAAATGTCAGTTGAATATTTATCATTTTCAGCTCATGCTGATGGTAAGGGTATTATACAACTAATAAAAAACTGTGAACCTCAAAATGTGTTATTAGTTCATGGTGAAGAAGAAAAAATGAAATTTCTTAGAGCTAAAATAATGCAAGAATTTAACATTAATTGTTACATGCCTGCTAATGGAGAAACTGTAGAAATTGAAACAGCCAACATACATACATTTAGTATGAGTACAAAATTAGTTAAAGAAATATTAGATGATCAGTCAAATAATTTGGGAAATGGAAAACGCTTGGTACATGGAGCATTCCTTTTAAAAAATGGTTCTTCTAATTTAAATGCCATGAGTGTGAAAGATACTTTTAAAGAATTGGATATTCAACGACACACCTTAAGGTTTGTTTAATAAATAATATTTACTGCAGATTATTACTAACTAAATAAATGTTCTTATGAATACACATGAAAAATTTTGAATTACTTAAATTATTTTTAAACTATTAATCAAATATTCTATCATTTCTAAACAATTTGAATAGTAATTTATTTGAAACAAATTATATATTGCTAATTAAATAATTATTTTCAGATTTACTTGTACAGTAGAAATTAAAGAATCATCTACAATCCAAAAAACCAAAACTAAATTATATAATATGCTGGAAAATAATTTGCCAATTTTCAAAAACAAACTTACTATGTCTGATGGGTCAATATCATTAGCATCAATTTTGGTGACTGTAGAAGATAGTATGGATAATAATAAAAAAAAAATTGTAATTTCTTGGGCTAACGAAGATGAGCCATTGGGCAATCATGTGCTTGAAATGTTACAAAATATGAGCAAGTCTGATTAATATAAATATTTGTATTCCTTTTTTTAATATTATAATAAAACCAATTGATAATAATTTTTAAATTTAATATACTTTATTTCTTTAACGATTTTGTTAACATAAAGATAAAAATAAATATATAATAGGTGCCTTTAAAATATTTTTAAATTAAGTTCCACTTATCATAGTTAAATAGTATTTTACATTTTATTATCAGTTTTGATTGTTTTCTGACATCTTTTCAAAAATCTTCCTTACTAACAATAATAATATCTTCATGTAATATTTCGTTCTCTTTAAATATGTCTGTAATATTATGTTCCATCATTTTATCTATTATTGGAGGAATTCTTTGTTCTATTTTTTCTTGCACGTCAACTTTATCTAAAAAGTCCTGTATTCTTTTTTTAATGGGAAGTTCCATTGCATCTACTATTTTATTTCTTAAAATATTTGGAAAAATATTAACAAGTGCTTCTGCTAAATAATCAATTGTACCTGCTCCATCCATACGCAATTGAATATTTCCTACTGATAAACCAAATTTATTTAAAAATGGAGCTAATCTTGTGTCCATTGGTTGAGTCACATTGGCCTCTAGCTGTATATAATCAATTGAAAAACTTAAAATACCTGTGGTTTTTAGTACTCCTGCTGCTCCAATTTTCCATTGACAATGCCCTTTTAGTTCCTGAGTTCCTATATGTATGACTGATATAATTGTTTGATTCTGTATACTTACGTGAATATCTCCTAATCTATATATACTTGATAGGCCAGATATCCATATTTCATTGACATCCAAACTAAATATATTGAAATTTACTGCATTCACTAAGTCTTCTATGTGCCATGGATCATATCCCATTGATTTTATTTGTTGGCGACTCTCAGCTATCAATAAGTCTACAGGTGGTATTGTGTTTGGAAAACGTTTAAAATGTTTCATTTTTTGATCAAGTTCTTCTTTTATCATTACATTTATCAGTTTCATAATGATGGGCTTAATAGTTTGAACAACAAAATTTGTAAAACTATTAACAAATGTATCATAAAATGGTATATTTATCTTATCTGTATCCATGTGTAAACTCTCATAATTCATATTCATATTCAAATTATTAGTCTCCAGGTGTCCTGATTCACTTACTTTTAAGCTTAAGTGACCATCAATATGAAGTTGTATGAGCGTCACATTATAATATCCATCATACATTTTCCAATAAGAATAATTACCTACTACTACTAATGTATCGATTGATATTCCAAATTCTAACTATAAAGTAATAAATAATTAAACATAATTAGACAACCAATTTAATATTGTTTTAGGGAATTTATTACAGATTCATAATTGTACAAACCTGTAAATCAACTATATTTACGTATAGTTTTTTTAGTCTGAATTTTGAATGTCCTCTCATTGTTGAATTATACATACTCCACAAAGGACTTTCATTATCAGGTATTGGTTCAGGATCTGAGTATGGTGGTACTATAGCTTCAGGTAATCCTACAGGATCTGGGTTTTGATAATGTTCTAGAACATTTCTTGTCAGCAAAGTCAAATTTATAATTCGTTCATCAGCTTCCGATAGTGATGGCACGTCATCATCAAATACATAGACTTATAAACAAAAAAATTAGATATTTATAAAAGTACAGAAAATGTATATTATAAAATTATTAGGGAACAGATATTATTGTAATAACAACACAATACATCTAAATTGTAATAGGTATATCTTTTTTTCATTTTTTAACAATAAGTCCAAAATTGAATTTTGCTTATTTATTTGTAAATTGTTCTACAGTACAAAGACATATGATATATTGACAATTTTATATTTATCTGAATAAAAAAAAAATAATTGCAAAATTATATGCCATTTGTTTTTAAAATTTACATTTTGCATAATTATGTTTGGAATTTATTTTTTAATAGATGTAGCAGATTTTGTTTTTAAAAAATTTTATAAAAAATATTACAATAATATAGAACAAATTTTCGTCATGTATCAACTGTATCTTTTACAATAGGTTCAGAAATTGAGACAAGGATATATTTCTGTGGGTATCTACTATTAATTGATTCAATTATTACATCTTATTGTTTCCAAAATATGATAAGAACTATGCACCAGGTATGAGTTAAATATATTAATTTAGGAAAAGATTCAATTAAATTATTAGCAATTATTTTATGGAAGCATCAGTTAAAAATAAAACATTTTCTCATTTAACAATTTTTTTGTCATCATAAGTTTATAACTTCATTAAACTACTAAGTAATTGACGAATTCTATTACTAGGTACATTATTCTAACCGTACACAATTTCGATAATTATCATCAATAAATGAAAATATCATTAAAATGTAATTAATTTATACAAAATCAACTAAATATTGAATAGGTATGCATATAACATTTTTATTAATTGGGAAAATACATGATATAAAATTGGTACTGTTTCAATTAAAATAAACTAAAATACATTTTTCTATTAGACTAAAAATATCTCATTCCAATAAAAATGTGTCTTGACAATAATATCTATTCCTATGTAATAATCAGTAATGTTTTACTTACATTGACATAAACAATTGGTGTATAACATAAAAATTATTACTAAAATAATATTTGTTTTCATTTTCATAATGATTTATGTTTAACAATTTTACATATTCCATTTGTACATAGAAATTAATGTTTTTAGCCTTCTAGGTTAATAATTTGTTGTACATTAAATTATTATTTCCATTATGTACATTTACCTTTGACCTGCAACTAATGTACATATTTTATCATTTCAATCAACTATACCTACTTGATAAACACAACAACAATCATCTAAATATTTAATTGTATTGTTTACATACAATTCGAGTAGGTGGGTAATACTTGAATTTCTTGGAAGTTAATTATATTATTTTATTAGGAAATATGAAATGATTGTAATGACTAATGATTTAAAATTGTACTGAGTGATTTTTTTCATCAAACAACATTCATTATTTCAAAATCTATTTATATTTTTGAAAAAATTTTTTACTTAAATTCTAATTTCAAGTTGAAATAAAACAAATATTTTTAAAAAAAATTATACTTTTTTGAATGACAACTTACATTTTTAATTTAGTATTCTAAAAAGAAGAATATTTTTCGAAGTATTTCGGTACATAATAATTAAAATTCGGATGAAAAGTTTATGAATTACAGCTGTTATACCTAAGTACCTATTCATAGTTTATGTAATCTATAATTTCGGTGAGTGTCATTCATGGATGACTTCTCATATCACGTACCTATCGCCTGTAAATACTTAATTATATTATTATTCCATACGTGTTTAATAAAATTAATTTATATGTTTTTATACTAACCACATAAACCTATTGTGCCCATATGCACAAATATTAGGGAGTTACATTGGCAGAGGCTCAAGCCCTTCAATATTTTCAATGATAATCCCCCACACAAAATAAAAATATTATTTAATACACATGAACCTATTTATTACTTACTAGGTAATAGCATTGAGTATAAAAAGTATATACAGTGGCGGATTTAGGGGGGGGGGGGGGTGCTTGGGCGCTAAAGCATCCACTGTTCTGCGTATTTTTATTAAAAATTTCTAATAATTCGTCGAGTGGCAAATTTTTGGTACAGGCTACCAGAACGTGCGCCCCGCACCGTGGAGTAACAAACACCGGTCGATGACCACGCACAAATTGTACATAATAAGTAATTTAGGACTAATATTATTAACAAAATAGCACCCACTATAAAAAAATCCTAGATCCGCCACTGAGTATATATACTCAATGGTAATAGGTGACTACACTATTAAATTTATTCTCCTGTTGGATTTGGCAAAGTCATTTAATACTGATAACGTGTAAATATTAATGTCTTTTTCAATATTAATTAACCCTAAATTACTGAATTTTTCTTGGAACATTGTTGAACTCATCCATGTTTTCAATCTCCTCATTGTAGAAAATGACCTTTCGCAAGTAGCAGAATGAATTGGCAAAGTTGTTGCTATATTAAATAGTTTATAATAATTTAGAAAGTACAATTTATTAAAAATTATATTTTTTTAAAAATATTTTGTGTATTAACTGGAAATTATGTAATAAAATATTTCCAAAAAATTGATATATTTTAAAATAATAAGTGTTGTTTGTTAAAAGAATCGCCCTGTATATTGCTAAAAGCTAGTTATTGGATTAATTGATATTACGTAACTTTAGATCTTGACCTTAATTTTATTTGTTTGAATATTTTGTGTATTAGACATTTTATTATTAATCAATTAAACATAATATTATGAATTAGTCGTTTCATATTAATATGTAAACAATAAGCCTTTAAACCATGATACATTTATTTACAATTTTAAATGATCTAATCATTTGTATTTTTATAAACTATAATTCTTGTTTTCTCAATATAAAATTAAATTGATGTTATAACTTAAAATAATTTATTATTTGTATTTTCTATACTTTTTATTATTTATATATTGTAATTGTAATAATACATTTACTATAAATTTTAACTTTAAGATACATAATTTTTTTAGTAAGTTTCTATTTAAATTAAAAAGGACTCTTGATAGTTATAATCAGTTTCTTGAAAAATAAATTTCTAATCAAATTAGTTCAAATATTAAACTATAAAATTGGAAGCATACTAAATTTTTTTTTTTTAAATAAAAAGATAAAACACAAATATTGTGAATTGATTTTGTTCATGTAATTATATGTAAGGTATTTTAATATTTTCTTGAGCTGAAATTGCTCACGCTCCACCTCTGAGTTGTGCTTTTAATTTTTGTTGAAAACTTTAATAAAAAAAATTAAAATGCAGAAGATTAAACTAAAGTTGAACAGCATGAATTGAGGTGAAGGTGAAAAATATCAAATAAATTATAACATCTCTGTGAGAAATACAATGTTGGGAGTTAGAATATTCCAAATTTTTAAATGTTATTACTAATTTTATTAGAAAATAATTTACACATCTTTGAATTATATTTTAAAAATAAAATACATTTTTTTTTTAATAAAAACCTTTTCTTTTCTAAATTATTAGACTACAACAACCATGGTTAAAGATATATTATTATATCTTATTATCTTTATCTTTTTTAAGGTATATTTTTAACCATGACAACTAATGTTTGTGATATATATTTTATGATATTACTAATTTTTTGCTTTTAATAACAAAGTGTATCTAGGATAAATTAATTTTATAATTTAATGTTTGAGCTAATTTTATTAGAAAATAAATTGTTAACAAATTTGGATATTTTGACTAATAACCATATTGTATGATACACATATACATTGTTTTGGTCTTATCACCAACTTCTTTTATGTGCAGGGTTATCCGCAAGAGTAATAGATGAAACATTAGATATAAGTGGATTTGGGTGATCTATTGTTAAAATAGATTTCTTCATAAGTAAATGAAAAATGTAAATGGAAGCAATTATAGGTAGAATAAAAAAATTTAAGTTCATAGTGAATAGTGTTGTTACACTATATACGCTTTAGTTAATAAACATAGATTGATTGATTAGATGAATTGAAATGAATTTAGTTTTCAAACTTGAGTCTATCTACAAATTGGGAGTTATTGTACAGTATACAGTTTATAATTTTAAATAAATAATTCAAGTCAATTGTTTAAGAAAAAGATGAATGTCTTATTCAATGGAGTTTTTTGTGGAGATTATTTCGTTTCTGAAAAAGTGTTATCTTCGGAGTGTAAAGTGTAGGTGATTTCAAATAAATTATTTTTATTCTTCATGGGTATACAAATATTGCAAATAGTATTTAAATAAACAATATAAAAAAAAATATAAATGTGAAGTATTACATCACAGGTATTATCAGATAATATTTTAATCATTAATAAATTTCAACTGTCAATAAATACAATATTTTTAATTAGTCTAATCATTAATAATAATAATAATAAAAAAAAAAAACTATAATTATAAATATATAAAATTATAGAAAAATATTTAATTTCCGATGATTGATTAATATTCAGAAAACATGAATAGTAGACATAATATGAAAACAATTATTTTGAGGTATTACAGAGTATGAAAACTGATCAATAATTACAGTAGAAAAATTATTTATAAAATATACAATTATTAAGAAAATAAGAAATTACATTTTCATATGATATCGTATGGTTATTAATACATGCTAATTATAATTTTCAAAATCAAATATATCAGTTAATAGATTTTAATGTTTACAGTAAAATTTCTTATTTAATAAAAATAATAATAAATTAACATTGACTTTGGCTGTACCAAAAATATCCATTATTGTAGCTCCTTCAAATTGACGTTTCAACAAATCCTATAATTTATAAAATAGATTATTAATTAGCAACTAATAAACAGTTTTAAAATATTATAATAAGTATAATTAAGCTTAGAATTTAGATATTCTTGCACTTGCATGTTTTATTATAGTGGTTATAGATTATTCTAGGTAAGATATAAATTTATAATATTTGCTTTCAATTACTATTGATAATTTAACATTTGTATATGTATTAGATGGAGTTTTTAAATAAAAACAATTTTAAGAATTTTTAGCAGAATAGTTACCAAAACCTTAATAAAGACTGAAAGACTGTTTAATAATATAGTCTTAAACTATAATAAAGTAAAAATTTATTTTATGCTATATTATAATTTATTTACCTGTATATCTATATTGATAGTTTCCATTTCTACTCCCATAAATTTTCCTTTGACTAAAAATACACCGTGCACATCAGTTGGGCAAATTTCAAATTGAGCATTTTTAAACTGTCCATCTGGAAGTCCTTCCACTTCAATTAAAACTCCTTTTTCTCGTAATTTTGCTGCTGTATATCGAATACTTTTCTTAGACTTCAACTGTATACCTCTATTAGATGATTTTTTTTGTTTTCTGAGAAAAAAAATTTTCAGTTCAATTTAAATTTAATAGTAGTAATAATAATCTAAAAACTATTTTTACTTTTGGCCAGTGTTATGCTTATCCAAACAAGTTTGTATGTACTCTTCATATGACTTTATTTTTTCATCTAAATATTTTATTTTTTCATCTAATCTCTGTTTGGTAGATTTAAACATTTGTAATTCCTGAGATTCAATATTTAAAATGTATTTATTAACAGTGATAACATATAAATATTTCATACAAACCTTAATCTGTATTTGACGATACTTGTTTCGATTACAAATATCTTTAGCCACTGATGTAATTATACCTTGGTATCCATCATCTTTTGATACAATGCCTTCTTCTTCTAAGACTTTCAAATGTTTTCTTAATTTTGCTTTAATTTCTTTTAATGTTCCCCTGAACATATTTTAATGGTTACTATCAAATTTTATAATACTAATCTACAATTTTATTCCAGAATGTATGATGAAATTTATAGATGAATTGAAGGTGATACTTATGAAAGCAGGAAAATGCACTGGCTTATTATTTAATAGGAAAAATTATAAATGTGAAAAAAAAAATATAAAATTCCTCTGAACTATCTATAAAGAACTATGAAACAAAAAAATTATATACATAGTTTTTTATATGCTGTGTAAGCCATAAATGCACATATATCTTTATCTGTTAAAAACAACTTGACTTTTAAAACGCAACAGAAATAAATTCAGTCTTATGTTTTTTTATGATCCATATCCAAATAAACTTAAGATTAAGTCAAATTAATACTGTAAAAAAGTATTTAACTTAATATTGATATTTTTTTCAAGATTTTAGGAGCACTAGTTTTTATTTAAATAAGTGTTTTTAAAACGCTATACAAGCATCTATTGTATAAAATAATATGGCACAAATCTATGCATTAGTGACGTCATGAGTAAATATATATATATATATGAGTATATATTTGCTATTTGACGCAGGAGTGATTGGATAATATTTATGAAAAAACAAATATTTTAGATTTAATTTATACTATTATCTATATGTTACATACAAAGTCCGGAATTGTACATTTCACAATTTTTACAGTGATTTTTATACACATTGCAAAGTGTACAATGTTGCTATACAAAGTAAATAGATTGTACAAGTTGCGTTATACAATTCGCGATGTGTACAATAATCACTGTACAAATTCCAAAGTGTATAATTGTTGTAAAAATCATAAAATTTAAAAACATATTCTAAAAATTACAATATAATAAGTGTTATGTTTTAAAAGTATTTTCTTAATAAATATTACATATTATTACTTATTAGTATACCATATAAAAATAGATATATCTGGACTTAACATATTAATATACTACAATCACTGAACAAATCACACATTGTGAAATAAAATAAAATACATGAATCTATAATAAGGGTATTTATATCATCTGTTATAGTCTTATGAGTTGTGTAACTAGTAAACGTATAATACAATAAAAATGATAAATTTTATCTAATCGACTTTATGATACTGTCATTCAGAAATATAACTTAAACAGATTTTAGTATAGACTAGTGCATTGTATGCGAAACTGCTCCGATATTTTATTTTATATTAGTGTGATTATAGTATTATACAATCAGGCAAAATGAGTGAAAATGAAAATAATCTTAATTTAAAAAATTTGTTTAATGAAAAAATTAAAAATATTAATTTAAGTGTAAATTCAATGGCCATAGCTAATGAAGAAAATTACAAAAAAATAATAAATGAAGTACTTGAAGCTAAACATAGAAAAAATAAGACTTCATTAGACTACAGACGTTTGAATCGCTACGATATTATAAAAGTAGGTGAAATTAATAAATTAATATTTCCATTACATAAATCAGAAAATAATGAAGTTAAATACTATTTACATAACGACGAAATATATGATGTTCTTGAAAAGTCACATAAAGAAACAGGGCATGGTGGACTTCATAAAATGATTTATCATTTAAAAAATGGTTATGTTAATATATCACGTCCTGTTATTCAATTATATTTAAACAATTGTGTAACGTGTTTAAAAAAAAGAGTTTCAAAAAAAAGAGGAGTAGTTGTTAAACCTATGGTATTTAATGAAGTCAATGCTCGTGGACAGGTCGATTTAATCGATATGCAGTCATGTCATGATGGTGGGTACAAATTTATATTAAATTACCAGGATCATTTATCAAAATTTGTAATATTGCGTGCTCTTAAAACAAAAACTGCAGCTGAAGTAACATATCATTTAATTGATATATTTTGTACTTTTGGAGCACCTTCAATTCTTCAGTCAGATAACGGCCGTGAGTTTGTTAATTGTATAATTGATGAATTAAAAAATATGTGGCCACAACTTAAAATTATACATGGGAAACCTTGCCACTCTCAAAGTCAAGGAAGTGTTGAAAGGGCAAACAGAGATGTGCAAGATATTCTAAGGGCATGGATGTCGGACAATAAATCCAATAAATGGAGTGAAGGTCTTCGATTTTGCCAGTTTCAAAAAAATAGCAGCTATCATTCTGGTATTAAGCAATCACCATTTGAGGTATTATTCGGCAGAAAAGCACAACTTGGCCTCACTTCTAGTGCACTATCTGAGAATATACTCAAAACATTAAATTCTGAGAATGATTTAGAGCAAGCAATTTCTTCACTAGAGCTAATTAATTATGAATTAAACAAAAGAGAAGTAAGTGAAGATAATATTTTGGAACAGGCTTTAACTGAAAGTGAAGATAATATTTTAGAGCAGGTCTCAACTGTAAATGAATCTGTATTAGAAGAAATTACAATTGTGCAAGGTAAAATAAATAAAAATAAAAAGCTAGCTGTAAGTTCATTACATCACCAAGCAAAGCGAATGAAAATTGATAGTATCTTGAAGTATCCAATCGTTTCAATCGGTACAAATGTAACATTGCCTGTACTAGATGTTGATGGAAGTAAGGAAGATTCGAGAAATATCATAGGTAAAATATTATTTTATATTTATAAATAATTATCATATTAGTAAGTGGTGTACTTTCATTTTATTAGGTGTTATAATAGAAATAACGACGGACGACTTGTATAAAATCGGTACTAAAAATGGCATTATTGCACAACTTACTATTCAGTCGTAACCAATTTTCATCTACTGATGGGGTAAATATATTAAATATAAATGATATACCTACTGATAAAATTTCTTTAAGAGTGGCAAATACGAAAGAATCAATGTTTGAAGGGCAAGGTTTTTTGAAATGTTTTTATACATGGAAATGCTATAATAATAAAAAATGTATATGTAAAAAAAAAATGTATTATGCAACTCACGCTATCATAACTCACTTGATTTTAAAAATAAATAATGATAAATTATGTATAATTATATTTGATTTTAGTAATATGTAGTTTTATAATAATATTTTTTTATTTGTACAACAATTGTACACTTCAGAATTTGTACAATGATTATTTTACACATCGCAAATTGTATAACGCAACTTGTACAATCTAGTTACTTTTTACAGCAACATTGTATACTTCGCAATGTGTACAAAAATCACTGTACAAATTGCGAAATGTATAATTCCGGACTTTGTATGTAACATTTATATATATATAAATAAAAATATTTTTGTTTTGTTTCATAGTCCTAAAAGCAATTATAATAATTCAAATGCCACATAAAAATTAATGGTCTAACGGATGCAAATCTTTTAAAAACCTAAATTAATATCAAAAAACAAATAATAGAACACATACTCAGAAGATAGATTAAAACAAAATTTATGAAAAAGAAATTAAATTACTTGTATAACTAAAACATAAATAATAGAATCAGAACATCTATTCTTCAAAGTTATGAGACACAAAGCAAAAAAAAAAAAAAAAACCATTAGAACTACTATAAAAATATGGGTTATTTGTATACATGAAAGCAAAAACATTCTTCTATTTATTATGCAAAAAAAGATTTTTTTATCTATACCTAAAAACTCGGTGATATCTTCTAATATATTTGTATTATTTCATTTAGATAAACTACAGAGACTTAATGTCCTATGATACCCCTAAACATAGTTGGAAACGAACATCAGTTTAAAATAAATTCCACTTACTCTTCAAAATCTGCACTCTTTCCAGAAGCTCTTATTTTATTTTCTCTGTCAGCAAAACGACTTTCTTCATCTAGAGTTGAATCAATTCTTAGAGATCCCGGTAATGTATGTCCACTTAAATATGGAAGTACTCTTATCAATAACTCCTTTGTCCTAACACAACACAAATTAAAATTTATCCTTAAGCACTAAAAAGTATTTATTTTATAGTATACATACTTAATGAATAATTTAGTTACAGAAGCTGTTGTTGTGTTAGGTTCAAATTTATCAGATAATGTTAGACAAACTTGAACTGTAGCAATGCGTCTTTGAACAATAACATCATCGTCATCCGCTATAAACAAATAAGTTAAACTTTTATATAAAGCACAAAATAATAAATATTAGTATATTTACTAACATCCATAGAGTTGTGAAATTGTTGGTGCAGAAGGTCCCAATTCATCAAGCAATTGATGAATTGGATCATAAGGATCAGGTGCAACTTGATCAATATTATCTAATAATAAGGAATGTGTTTCTTGTATTTCCTAAAAAATATAATTTGTTAATTTTTTTTTTTTTATAAATATACTTAATATAATTCAACGTACCTGTAATGTTATATTTATTGTTGGTTTAGTAAGAAGTGTTACATCTGTAAATTCATTTATGTTATAATACACTTCAGGATCATCAACATTAGTACAATTGTTGAAAAATAGTTTTAATTTTGTGTAACAGTCAAGTATAAATGGATTCATACATTTTAAATGGATTTCATCTTTGTACTAAAAATAATATGACTATAGATATTGCAAGTATAAAAAAAAAAATTAAATATTATTTACTCCTTTTTTATTAGATGCATATTGCAGAATTTTTGCTACACTAGCTAAATTATGTCGTTGGCGATAACTTATTCCATCTTCAATTTTAGTTTCAAATATATCATATATTTCAGGTGTTATGATAACTGGATTCATGTATAAATTATAGACAAAATAGCCAATTATCTACAAAATTAAATATGTTATGAATTATATTTGTTTTAATTGGAACTTACAATTTAGTAACATAGTATACTACATACTTTATAAATTTCATTTTCTCGAGTATCAGGAAATAATTCATGTATGGTTTCACATAAAGTCCGAGCTGTATATAATATGGCATAAGGTATTAAAGGTTTGGAATCGAGAATTTTGTTCAAAAATTCTTCAGTTATGTTTTGTAGCTGTTCTAAATTATGAGCTAATCTTTTTTGAACTTCTTCATATTTCAATGCAGTATGTTGATCTACAGAGCTAGGCAAATCCCTAATAATAAAATGATTTACATCAAATTATTAACCGATTAATGTTTTTATAAAATTCATATTTTTATTTTATAATGAAATAGGTAAGTAAAAATACTGTAAAACAATATGAGTAATTCTTACGATATTTCTCCAGTGTTTGTCTCTATTTCATTACGCCAAGTCCTATAAATTGTAACTGGATTTGTGTCAATAAATAGATTATTTCTTTGGTGTATCAGCTAAATTATAATAAAAGCATATTATATTGTAATTATTTTTATTAAAAAAATTAATACTAGATTTGATAATTGTATTTTAAAAGAAATATTATTATTAATTTAATTCATAACTATTTTATATTAATTATATTTTAGAAGATTTTTTGATATATTGCTTTTAAATTACATACATTTTTCAATTAGTATAAATTATATTAATATATACGAATAAATAAAAACATACCTTTTCAACTACTGTTCTAAAGATTGTATTTAAACGTTTTTGATTATCAAAACATCTTGCCTGATCAACAATTGCTTTTAATATATATAAATTTGATGTTTTAATCTCTGCTGCTTTAGTACAGTTAATTTTGATTTCTTCTTTTAGAGCTAGTGTTAATAATTTTAACATAAAATAAGCATCACGGCTATTACTTCCAGCATTAAAAACTGACATAAGAATTTGTTCTAAAAACCTGAAATAAATTAATAAAAGTTTTAATATGTATAAAATAATATTTGTAAAATATTGTTCATAATATTTTAAAAATAACATGGTAATTTAATGTAATTAATAGTTACTTAGAAATATGACGAACTGAATATGGCAAACAAAATATAAGTTTAGTTAAATAGTATGGTTTTGTTTGAAGCATATAAAACAAATGTTGATAACACTCTAACAGATGTTTACTATTTTTATTTAAAGACATTAAGCTAATAGAATTTTGTATATTATTTGGTTGTTGCATTTTATTAATATCTTCATTGGTTTTCAGTTTATGATTAATAACATCCTAAATGTAAACAAAAAAAGAAACATTTTTTTCTACAATTATTTCAAGAAAATACAGGGCAAAACAAAACTTTTTTGTGACCATATTATATTACCTGTAATGAAATTCTATTTTGAATAAGCAACCCAATTTTTGTATCTAACTCATCAGCTTCATGAGACATTTTGTTGCTCTGACGTATGAGTTGAGTAATTTGTCCACGGAGATTCTAAACAATTGATTAAAAAGCGCATATCAAATTTATTTATCTATAATATGCTGCGTAAAACTTACTTGTAATTCTAATTCTCGATGATAATCTTCTAAATTAAAATTCAGTAAACGAGCAAAATGCTTAACAATCTTATAAGGAGGATTTGCTGTATGAAATAAATGATAAAAATTATTACGAACCATTTTACCTCTCCAAATTGCTTGTAGTTTTATTATATATTTTACCTAAAACACAAAAATGTATTTTTAAATATAAAATACATTTTAATGAGATGTTTTACTTACATCATTTTTAGTATAAACACGTTGAAAAGGTTTCAATTGTTTCCTAATTTTTTTTAACAAAACTGACCATTGTCTTTGAAATAAAATACATCGCCACCATTTCTAAAAAAAAATTTGATTAAATTGTCAAAAACGAATAAATATAATTCTTAAAATATAATAACTAACTTGTATTTTTATAGCATATAGTTCTTGCCTAGAACATAACTTTTTGTTTTTAATTTCTTGTCTTACTAGATATCCACGAATATTAGCTTGAAGTTGAATAATCATTTTATTTATTTCTTCGGACTCTTTTCGATGTTTATAACTTTTTTTCATATTCATTATTGTAGTCTATGGAAGATTTAATGAGGTACAATAATAATAATGAGCATATTACATTTAATTATAAATTTACTTGTATTTCTTCCATATTTAAATACTTTGGCGTAGGAAAAAAAGTAGGTTTTTCCCATGAGTAATCTAAAGTTTCAAGATTTAAATAAACATATCGACCATATGGTGTTTGGTGTGTGACCCAAGGACCTTTGTATTTTGCCTAAAATATAAAATTAAATTCATATTATATTCTGTGAAATCCTAAATACTTACTTATCAACTTACATAAAACCTTTTAATTTAATTTCTCAAATATGTTAAAAGTAATTTATATAAATTATTTATAGAATAACCTTTTTTTTTTTTATACTTAACTTTAAGTCATAATCTTACCTTTGACTCAAGTAATCGTAATAATGATACACAAATTTCTTGTTGTTCGATTTCAATCATTGGAACAAGTTTAAGAAACTCTTGAGTTAATTTGGTTTGTTCATTCTTAATTAATGATAAATTCACAGATAAAAGCCATTCAGCACCTAAATTAAAACAAATATATCAAGCCGATATTGATAAAATTAAATCATAAAACTTACTTCTATGGATACTTTCAACTTCATCACAAACCCTTTTTAAGACATCTTCAACATCATCTTTCCATATTTCAACTTCATCCTCAGAATCATTTCGCCGATTCTAAACAGAAATATAATATTAATAGTGGGTAATAGGTATCAGTAGCCAAAACTTTAGTTTGCAGGAGCCTTATACTAGAATCTCATAAGAGTAAGGCTCAGATTTAAAAGCATATGTTTTTTTTTTTTATAAATGAGATTGAAATTTAATTTTTATACACAAATTTGTTTCATGTCATTCAGATTCCAAATCAAATTTTTGTTATTGTTATTTTAGTTGAGGAATTTTTTTTATGTTTATTATGCTATAGTAATAGAAAAATAATGTAATTTAATTAATAAGAAATGCAAAACCCCGGAATATTATTTTTTGGAAATTAATTATCAGGGATTTGATTTAAATGAAATCTCTTACATGAAGTATGCACCGATCACTTCAGTGGATGTAGAGTATTTGTTTTTATGTATAAAAACATTTTGTCAAACAATAATCAATTTTACTACAACAAATCTATCAAAATACATAATAATTTATTCTTTTTTTTTTTTAATTTAAAGTAATTTTTCAATTTTACTACTAGTTCATGTTAATTTTTGGTTATGCTTTTTTTTTTTTTGTACTTTAAGATCTGACTCCTACTTATAAGTTTAGTATGCTAATATTATGAGTACATAATAATATATAATAAAGTTTTTCTTAAATTTAAGGAAAGACTGTTGTCCTTCCTATTCTCCCTTACAACCAAAACTATATAATTGACTGCCAACCAAATTGTTAGTATAAATTATTATAAATATGTTTATTAACATATAGAAAGATATTTATTTATACCAGTAATAATTCATATGCATACTGCATATCTTTAGCTTTAATTGTGTATTCTAACTGCAATATTGGATTTGTAATGCATTGCTTCACTGTGTTAAAGTCTTTCCATTTTAAGGCGTTGTTCAGTTGTTGTAGAACATTAATTACTGTTAGCATAAAACATTTAGATTGATTAAAATATTATTTTATTTTTATAATTATTTTAATACCTTCTTTGTTTTGCTCTAGTTGATTATGGACAATATTTACACAATCTTTAATATTCATAAACGATAATATTCCAAAGCATCCTTTATTTATAATTTTAAATCGCCTACATGCATCAAAAGCACTCCAGTATTGTAATTTTAGTCCTGCATCGAGTTCTTGATCCTTTAAAATTAACATATTCAATCAAATAGCTATTTAATTTAATTTTATCAAATTTTACAGGAAAAAATTTTTTTAATTTTGCAAGTCGATCCCACGTTGAATCAATATTTTCGGAAAGAACAGCTTTTGTTACATCAGCTATTAGATTTAATACTTGCAAGCTCTGTACAATATCATTATAATTTAGGTTTTGCTGTAAAAAAAAAATAATAATAATTATAATTATAATAATGTTAATACTACTATAATTTTTATTTTATAATTAATTTAAAAATTCCATTAAATAACAAAGAAAGTATATTATTATTAATATATAATGGTTAAAATTGTAAAAATATTCATTATAAAATTTAGTGTATCAAATTTCTTATTCTATAATAAATGTCAATTTACAAGAAAAGATAAGTTAATAAATCTAAAACTGAATAAAAATATAATAGTACTAAAATCATAATCTTACATCTATATCACATCGATCAATTTTCAGTTCTTCAAAATACAAAGGAATAGCAAATTCATTAACGAGATGATTCAAGTTTAATACAGGATCTTTAAGAATACGAGTAAAACCATCCATATCATCAATAATTAATGTGTCATTTAATTTTTTTATAGCAGTTTCCTCTGTAAAATATATTTGTTAATTAAAAAAAAAAATTTTTTTTTTACATAATATCTTACGTTTGTTATAATTGTATGCCAATTGGTTTCCTGTATTAACAACTTGTTGAAGAAAACATTTCTTATCAATTGTATTTAAAGTTGTATAATTAACAGTTTTTAATAGTTTATGAAATTCTGATTTATAGTATTTACCATTTTGCTTTTGTACATCCTAACATAAAATAATATTTAATATTCAAATAAATACATGAAAAATAATTAATATAATTTACTATTAAAGGTAAGTATTTTGAATTTAATATATAAATCACATCATCTTCACAATTTGCTCTGCTCATTTCATTCCACTTTTGATCAACTGTAATAAATTAAAAATGTATAATCTATAAATAATAAATTAAAATTATCTTACTATTTACGGATGATACATATCCTTGTATTTCATTTTGAGTTAGAATGTCATCATACGTGTCTGGTTCAAAACTTTCACTCAAAGACTAAAACAGATAAAAATTTACAAGTTACTTTTTTGTTTTTGTAGAACTGAAATGTATTAATTAATATAAAAATTATATTGTTTATATACAAGAATTAATAAAATAATATTTTATGACTAGGCTCAAATTTAAATATATTACCTTATTCAAAGCAGAGTTTTCTTTTGAATGTTTAACATCACGCAAGACAGCTAAATATTTATCAATGTAGTCCAAATTAACAAATTGCAATTTTGCTACTTTGTTACATAAACTCTTTGTGAAATAATTTATATCCTAAAATGTTATAATACAATATAAAATAACAAAATGAATATGTAAAGATAATGGGTATTTTATAACCTTGGATAAAATAGCATTATTTATTTCCATGATTGCTTCTTGTAATGTTAATGTGTCTCCCTTTATATCTTCTGATAATAGCCCTGCAATTTTTTGGAACTTAGGAAGTTCTATACCATTTTCTGCCAATTCTTTTCTTGTAGCAGTTATTGTTTCAGCTTGAATACAAAACCAAATTATAGCATTTTATTTATAAGCTTAATGTATGTTTTAATCAATTTTATTTTACCTGAAAAATCAACTTTTCCATATAAATCTTGAATTAAAGGGGCTTGACCTCTTTTGAATAAATGGGTACTTAGAGCATGAAGACAATAAATTACTTTTGGCATATTTTTTTTATCATAAACATCAGTGGTTTCGGGATGAAATATCTAAAAATAAAAAAAGACTTATTATCTAAAAATAAAAACAAACTTATCAAGATAATTCCTTTATAAATATTTTTAAATTACCTTTGGTAAATTCACAACATTTAAGGATTTTAACCAATAATTTATGTTATCTGTATGACGATACTGAAGACCTGCTGTATTATAACGTCTTTCATCACGGTCATAAATACAAGATATTGGTACAGTTGAAGGAGCAATGAAATTTCCTAATTTTGCTAATAAAACACCATTTCGTAAACGGTCTTCAAGTTCCATAACATGTGGTAAAGTGGTTTTTAAACATGACTCTAACCACCTAGAATTATTTAAATTCGTATAATATAAAATTAGAAAAGCTTAAATACTCAAATAAGAACATACACTTTTGTTTCTTCTAAATGACATAGGTATTCATAAGCCAAATTGTCTTGTCTAATTATATCCACTTCAATAAGACCAGGATTTAAATTTTCTTGTGGTTTGTTACTATAAAACAAAACCATACATGTGAATAAAAAAAAAAAGTATAAGACAGATCTAAACTAATTTAAATCAAAAAATTACCTGGAAAGTAATAACGTCATTTTAAGTTTGATTTGTAAAACCCTGATGATTATAATTCAAACATAATTAAATAATAAGTTAATTGAAGTAGTTTCTTTGAATAAATTATGTAGACAATTTTTAATAAATTTAAAAACTTTATCTAATAATTTTATAAGTAATGAATGAATAAATAATAATGAATTTTAAATACTAAAAATGATCATAAAAATATTAAATAAAAAAAAAAAATTGTATAATGTAAACAGTATAATGTTTAATAATTTATTAAAAAATCGATTAAGTAGTCAATACGTCAACGTTAATGCAGAATGTCAATTGTTAAACTCTCACTAGTCACTATCAAGTATTCAACGTCAACCACAACGCAGTAGCCACTACTCAGTACTCACTTAAACTTTAAAGTTTTAACGGTTATAGGAAATTGAATGAAAAAACAATGTTATCTCAAAGTAACATATTATCATTAAATCCGTTGTGAAACACTAAAGAAACGGTCATTTAACTTTACCGAACCATGGTTATAGATAATATAATTTATCAATTTATAGTTGGTATTATTTTTTTGTTATTTTAATGTCCAAATAATGCTAATACAATAAACTAATATTAAAATATCGTAATTACAATCTTTTATATATATAATAATAATAAAATGCCTGTTTTAATTTAAGATGATCACCTATTTATGAATATTTAATGAAGCGACCGAACTATGCCAATAATATTTTTATGTTAAGTTGGTCACATCTAAGAAGGACGTTAAGTAGTGTCGTAGTGGGGAGAAAATCCGTTAAATAATTTAATTTTATTATATTCTTCATCTTGTCGTTTTGGTGTCTTACTAAAATACTTATCCGTAATTACAGCAATATTGTCGTATTATTTTTCTATTCTATTTTTGAAATCGTTGTTGTTCGGTTTTTCAAGACTATTTTTGTTAAACTGTATACAATAACTTAATGTTGTTTCATTGAAACCACAGTTTTTTCATTGTTAAAGATTGCTTTAAAAAACGGATAACTTAGCTCTATTTTTCTCGTTGATTCAACATTGTTTATTATCAATTGAAAAATGGCTACTGGCATCAGACGTGACATGCACTTGGTGAGTTTTTTTTCTTTACTATTGTAAAGTTCCATAAACTAGCGGACTGAAGTATAGTCGATATATCCGATTTTTGTAAACAGATTATCAATTATAAATTTTAAACTTTAATAATCTATAAGAACGCAAATAATAATTTACATATGTGTGCATACTTGTAACTGCTGCGTGTAAATTGTTATTATATGAAAATTATTAAACATGTTTTATTATTTATTAATTTATTATATTCTAATATAATGAAAACAATATGTAATAGGCAGAAGAGTGTAAACATTTGCCGTTTTTAATGAACATACCTCAAGTTTGAACATTTAATACAACGTTCCATTTAATTTTTGTTTTAAGATAATTATAAGATTGATTGGAAATTCTTACTTAGTTGTATGTCCATGCGTTTATAAGAATTTTTAGATTTTTTTATAAATTTAGATATGTTCCAACCATACAAGAAACTTTTGCTTAAATTATTATTTTTTACAGTCAACGTAGTTTTCAAAGAATAATAAGCTAGGAACCTATTTATAAACATTTTATTTTTTACTCAAATAAAAAATTAGAGAGAGCTCTAAAGCTTGAAAATTTAATCAGTTAAGACTTAATAAAATACTGTAAACTTATATAAATAAAAAATAACAATAAGATGTTCCTAGCCTATAGGCTATCTACATCTAAGAATATATACAGATTTCATTTTGACAGTTTTAAAAAATAATATTGATGACAATATAATAGGATGTTATAATTATTATTTGTGAATAATAAGTAATGATACAAAAATAATAAATAGGAAGTTCGATTTATTTGTTAACATAATAGAAGAATGACATAGATGTTTTATCTGAGCAAAGATCATGCTAATAATGCTGCTGTTTTAATCGGCGTTGAGGTGGTTATGCATGTAAGTTGCAGTACATTAAATATGATGAGCTAGAGTTTTAATGTAGGTTATTATTTCTTATATACTAAGAGAAATTGGCGATTATTTGGAGGACTTTTTTTGAAAAATATGTGTTTTTCTTAAGTGAATGGATGTACAAATTTAATTCTCTAATTCTTAAACCAATGCAAAAAAATATTTAAATGAGTTTGTAGTTATTACTTGTTGTGTGATTTCCGGAAAATAGTTGTATCATCTGCAAAGAGAGGAGTATTTGTGTGAGGAATGTCGAAAATGATAATATTAAATATAATAGGACCACATTTAGAACCTTGTGGTATGCCAGCAGAAATAAGCTTGAAGTTAAAGGCACTGTCATTTATTATAACTGAGTATTGTTTCTTTGAAAATATTAAGTGTATAATATTAAAAATATCATATTTAAATTATGCAATTTAAACAGTAGTGAGACCTTTGATATATCTATAAATATAACTCCAATATGGCAGTGCTTATCAAATATTAAGTTGATGTGTTCAGTAATTTGTGAAAGTTGTTGAACGGTCAAGTAGTTCAATCTAAAACCAAACTGGAATTTGGAATAATGTCCGTGACGGTTAAGTAATCTAGAAGTCTGGTATGTGCTATTTTTCAAAAAGTTTAGGTAAGGATATTAAGAGACTAATTGGCTTATAACTATCAGGGGTTGGTCTTGTATTTTACTGGTTTTTTGATGAGAATTATTTATCTTATTTTCCACTTTACTGAGAAGTAATCAAAACACAGTAGAGAATCTAACTGAAGAATCGAAAATATTAAAAATATGTAAGACAAGTTTTTTTTATGTGCATTTTAAATTCAAAATGAAACTAGATATTAAACAAAGAATAACGATTTTAATTATTTAGTTGCAGTTAAAAATAAAATTTGTGAGAACTTGGAACTTTAGTATACATTATTTTACTTTGCATAACTATATATTCAAAACATTAATTTTAAACTATTGTTTGTTTATACCATTCTTTGGTAAATCTGTTATTTATTCAAAAGTCAATAAGAATAATATATGATAAAAAAGTAATTTTTAGGTAGTTACTATTTTTATAATAAATAATAGGTAGATGTAATAAATGCAATGTCTTTGGCTAAAATTAATTCATCCTATTGCATTCCTAAAATTGACTAGAATAAATTACTATAGGTATTACAAGTATAATAATAATTTAAGTATTTATTTAAATATACTTGGGATTGTGTGCTAATATACTGATTTTACTTAAAATATCTTTTATATGCAATAGTTTTTTATTGATTCAAATTTAATACATCCATAATCCTGGTCTACTTTAAGTATCTATATTCGTCACCTGGTGTACAGCTAAACTAGAATTGCCTACGTTTTGTTATTGTAATCTTTTTTACTTTTTAAAAATATAAAAATGTTAACATTATTATTTTATACTATTCTATTTTTTTATTCAACACTATTTAATTAAATACAAGTTGTACGACATATTTGTTATAACTAGAGCGCGGATTTCTATGCCATTGCATATTTTTTTCCTTTTAATATTTTTGGATTTTTGTCAGTTATCTCCATGAATTATCATAATTTGAAGCTAATGGTGAAATTTTTTTTTGCATATTTCTGCATATTTGAAGGTTATTGCATATTTTTGCATATTTTGACAAAATTCAAAATTTATTGCATATTGAAGCGAAAATTTAAAAAAATGTATAGGATAATATTTTGTCAAGTAGAATGATTTAAAATTTATATCTATTCATTTGGCATTTTTAGTGATAAAAATAGTCATAAAAAAAACTGGAAACTCGAAATATGACTTTATATCTAAGCTTTTCAATAATTGACGAAACGAAAGAAAAAATGCATTCTATTCCTGGATTGAAAGGTGTAACACTTACAACAAAATTAAACGAGCTTTCCAATAAAAATGAAGGTCTGAAAATTCTACGAAAAATTAATTCACTGTTATTAAGTGAAAACGTTCATCTTGAAGATCTTTATCAAGATCCGACAATACTAAGTTGCTTCAAATATGCCCCAATAACTTCGGTTGACGTCAAACGTTCGTTCTCAGTCTTTAAAAATATGTTAATCGATAAATGATACAACTTCACAGAAGAAAAACTTGAAATGCATATGATTATTAATTTTAATAATAAATACAATTTTAAAAATAAATTAAGTTTAGAAAATTTCCTAAATTATTTATTATTAAGTATTTAAGTAATTAATTATTATAAGTTTTATTGTAAATTTTAAATAAATAAAAAATTTTTGTATATTTTTGCATATTTTCATAATTTTGACTGCATATTTTCATTATTTTTACTGCATATTATATGCCATATTTCGATACTTTTAAGTGCATAAAAATCCGCGCTTTAGTTATAACCTATAAGTACATATCAAAAAACAATAAATCATGAATTTAAACAGTTATGCATAAAATCTATAGTTAACAAAGTATATTTTTATAATTCTTTCAGAGACAAGACAAAGTTTATTCTGAAAATAATATTCCAAAAGCAGTTAAAGATTCTAAAAGCAGTGGTATAATAGCTCCTAGAAGACCTGTATTAAATGACATAAGCAGTAACTTGCAGATTAATCAAAATGCTAATCAAAAAGGAAAAATTACTATAACAAAACCAACTATTCAAGTAACAAAACCTACTACTAGACTTGCTTCGAAGTAAGTATATTGCAGCATTATTTCCATTTTCTATATATAAATGTCAAATAATTAATTATTATGTTTTGTATAGTTTAAATCGTACTACCACTTCTATTACTTCTAAAGTGAAACCTTCATTGAGTACGTCTAAAACTGTTCTTAAAGTTAATTCTGGTTTACATGAGAGCGTATCAAACATTCCAAAAGCTATTGTTAGACCTAAGACAGCTGGATTGGTCAAGACTTACAGAGGAACTTTGACCCGGAGTTCATCGCTTAAAAACAAATCAGTAAGTGAAATATAATTATACAAATATACACTTCAATTTATTTCTTTTGTTAAATAACTGTATTTTTAATTTATTTAGGTTGTATTGACAGAATCTCAAAAGAAAGAACAAGATTGGATTACTGCTTGTAAAGTAGATGCTGTTGACAAAAGTGATGAGTATGATCCGTTTCTAGTCGGAGCATACTCCAAACCTATTTTTACATACATGATGACCTTGGAGGTATTTGTTATAATATTGAATCTATGTGCCAGTATTAATTTATTGTTTTATGTTTTATAATAAGGATCAATATATCATAAAACCAGATTATTTAGCTAACCACAAATATATCACAGCATCAAACCGTAGTGTTGTTGTTGACTGGCTTGTAGAGGTACAACAAGAATTTCAAATTATGCAAGAATCTCTTTATACAGCTGTTGGAATTCTTGACAGATATTTACAAGTAATTATTTACATATTTAGTAATTTGAATGTTTTCTGAAAATACCGACTATCCATTTTATAAATGTAGAACACAGAAAATTTGAATTCTGCTATTCCATTGTTAAGTTTTTAGTTTTAATATTTGACTTAATTTATCTTTTATCTAATTACAGAGTACAAAAATCCATTTATTTTTTCTACTGTATTTTCACAATTCCTATTTAAAATGTTAATATTTTACATATTTAAAACTGATTTTAACATTTGAATATTAAAAAATAAATAAGTAATAAGTTAATATAGATAATTTTTCCTGCCTCTAAATTTGATAATGAGTTAATTCCCTCCCATATTAAAAAGCCATTAATCCAAACTTAAAAATGTTAAATGTTAGTATTTAATATTTTTTGCTCAACTTTTAACTACACTTGTAGTAGGGATACTTTGCATTTGTATTATTCTATTTTAGTTTATAATTGTTTTTAGCTATTCTCTTATCTAGCCATTCCATATGGTGTTAATGATAGTTTCAAATCCATTTTAATTATCTTTTGATGTTTCTAGCAGTGTAAACTTATTCAATATTAAATTAATTTTGTGCTGGTGATTAAAATATAACATGTATGTAATACTTATATCAATATATTATACAAATCACAACATTTTTTTTTTCTTTTATATATTATGATTAAAATTGAAACAAAATTAAGTAGCACTTTATTTTTTAATAAGTAAATAAAGGCAATTATGTACACAGTACTACATTAATATATGTGTAAACCAAATTGCTAAACATAATAAACCACACTTGTAATTATTAAAAACATAATTACACGTGTATTTATTTATGGGTTAAACTAAATGGTTTTTAGGAAGATCAAAATGTTGCTCGCAATAAACTCCAATTAATTGGTGCTACAAGTCTACTACTCGGTTGCAAGTATGAAGAAATATATGTACCTGAGATAACTGACTTTGTCTATTTATCAGACAATGCTTTTACCAAGGATCAAGTAAAATCATGTTTAGTGGAAGTCTTCAGAACAATTAATTATTCATTATCTAGACCTTTTTCATTAACCTTTTTGAGAAGGTTTAGCAAAGTGTCAGGTGTAAGTAATACATTGTATTTTTATGTGATATGAATTATTGATTATGAATGCATTGGTTTTGTTCAGGCGCGATCATCACAACATTCCTTGGCTAAATACTTCTTGGAATTGGCTTTAATTGACTATAATTTAGCACATGTTAAACCTTCTGAAGTAGCTGCGTCCGGTCTGTTATTAGCCATCGTCATAACTAATGATCCTGAATTAGATGATAACCCTGAAGATGTAAATTCATTATTATCTTTGTATTGGTCAGATTTAATTCAAAAACACTCAACATATAAAGTGGATCAGTTAATTTCTACTGTTCAATCACTTGCTCGTTTAGCGCTTAATGCCCCTGAATGGAAATATAAGGTAATTATATATAAAATAAAGTCTTCTGTTCTAATTATATTTATTATGATGGACAAAATAATAGATATTTAATAATAGCAATATTTTATTAAATGAAACCCAATGAAAATAATCTTTGGAATTTGTGAATTCTGGTAAAAATGTGTGCATAAGAGTGAATAATAAAGATAACTAATTATATTTACTTTTCCTAAATTGATGAACTTTAATATAAAGATCTAAATTTATTTAAATATTCTCAAATAATATTATTTTAAGAGTGTTAGAGCACATCATGTTTTAAGGAATAATATTTAGGTAGTTCATGTGAAACTTCCATTTTAACTATCATTGTGTGAATAGTAAATGAACATAAATGTGTGTAATTCATTATAATACTATCAATCATTAGTCTTTATTTTTATTTTTTACAGGCTGTTTACAAAAAATATCAGAGTGCGAAGATGGGAAGAATCACAACAAGTTCCTTACTGAGCTCACCAGCTATGATGTTTATTGCACGCACATGTTGATTCAGTATCACCTAAACCTAACTATTTTTAACTTTTTTTAAATTTATTTTGTTTTTATCGAGAGTGGTGTTATGCCACTGTTTTTTTACATTAGATTTTTCGTATAATTATTAAACTAACATTATTTTTTTTAAAAAAAATTAAAAAACATGACCACATTAACATGTTGGTAGGAAGTAATGTTTTTTTTATTATTAAACAAAACAAATATACTTATAAATTGTATAACTTAAGAAAAGTATGTTTAGCCTGTTATGTTTTTGAGTGTATTTTGATATATAACCATTGTATACAATAACAATTATTAAATCACACTTAAATTATAATTTTACAATATTGAACAAAAGCCATTTCGCTTTGAAGCGATATAACATACGCGTGTTGATATGTTCCAATTTTATAAATATTTATTTCTGTGGGCGTTAATGAATTATTTTTAAATGTAAGATATATTAAATTATTTACACAGACAATAGACTGAAATATTTTTATTTTTAACACAATTAAATTTTTAAGAAATAAAATGTTAGTAATTCAATTTGTACCGCTCTCAGTATGAAAGTATGTCTTACAATTATTGTTTCCTTTTGAATTTATGAAATCAACATGTGTTATCCGCTATTGCATGTCATCATTAAATTATTAATATATATTTTTCTTATGTTTTATAAGAGTAATTGTATAGTGTAAGTTAGCTTTTAATTTTTTTTTTTTTTTTTGTTTAATAAATAGTTAAAACAAAACAAAACAGGTGATAGTTCATTATCTTATTTACTATTAAGTATTTAAGTATTTTTAAATTAGAATCTTTGTTGAGTGTTCATTGAAATAATTTTTTTTTTTTTTAAATAACATTTTTCTTAATCAATGTTATATTGTAAATACCTAAAAAAAATTATACTTTCAATATTAATTACCCACTAAAAACCTGCTTTCATAAAAGAAACAGCATTTGATTAATGTTTTATATTTGTATTATGATAATTGGTTTTGTTTCTCTAAAAATATTTTAAATATAATGGAGTTACAGTTACTTGGTTATATTGTTAACCATTGATTTTAAAATAATTTAAAAAAATTCTAAAATCTATGTGTTAATGTAGATTAGCTTTTTCAAAAATTAGTTACCACTTTTAAAAAATCTTTCTGGAACCATGACCATGTGAACTTTGTCTTCTGAAATTCTTTCACTTATCAGAATTGTGGTTCTATAGTATTTAAAATTACATAAACATACACTATACTATTACCGTTTAACATAGATACACTAAAAACAACCAAAATTATAAATTTTTGTTTTCGGTCATTTGAATTATACAACAAATTTTAAGCTTATACTTCTATTTCTTAAGCGTTTTATAAAAATATTTAAATACCAATTTTGTTTCTAACAAAAATAATGTAGAAACAAAAGTCATAACAAAAATTATAATTTTTGAATTTTAACATAAATCTAATTAATTATTCTGTCGGCTGTCACCAATGGATGTCTTCCTCTCTTTTGTCCTACTCTTATACTTGAATCATTATTTCATTTGCTTACCTAATGTAGAGATATTAATGTTTCACAATTTTTCCTCAAAGCCTCCTTTTGTTTCACCATAAACATTTAATAACTTAATAACTATTCAATATTGTATACGAATAAATATAAGTTTTAACAAAACTGTCAATTCATCAAACGTGATAATTTACCAATATGCGAACAAATAATATTTTAATTCTGAAAAGAAAATATAGCATAATTATCTAACAATTCGAAACAATTTCTGAATTCTTGGTTTAGTTAATGAAAGATCTCTCAATATTAATTTCAAAAGCAATTTGGCTTTTATTGCTTTTTGGTACTAATGGTACTACGGATCTTTGTGAAACAGCTTTTGAATTAAATAACTACAAAAGTCAATAACCAAAATCGAGTATGATAAGACGCAGAATATGGAATGCATCTTCAATTTGACTTCTGTAATCCGAATAGGTCAAACTAGTCACTACTTTTAATTGTTATTAGTATAACAATCTGTTGTTTCTGTGGCCATTGGACGTAACAGTGCATTACATAATGTATACAGTATACACTATATAAATTAAGTAAGATAAAACAATAAAATAGAATAAACAAATAAAATATAAAAAATTCCTAATCTATTTTTTCATCCAGTAATTCAAGCTATCCAGACTTTACATAAAATGAAATAACATTAATGTACAAAGAAAAGAGGTTAACTAATGGTTACTGATGAGTCATTATTCATTAGGTATTTATTATTATAAGTTTATTGAAATTTTAATTCAATGATATAATATTGTATATAAAAAAAATTATTCAAAGCAAAGACGGTCTGACAGCTTCTGTCACCAGATATTTTGTGTTTTTAATATAGCTATTTTAAAACCCCAAATCCTAAAGAATTATTTAATAAAAAAATAATTAAAATATTGCCATATTTAAATTTTTGGTGAAGTCAAAATCGAAAAATTTGATAAGGTCAATCTCAGGAAGACAACACCAAATTTAAATCTGTTAAAAATTCTTATTGTTTCATTAACCAATTGGTACGTTGAAAGTAGAACACATCTATAATCCTATTTTGTGTATGTATTAGACAAAGACAAAATATCACCCGCTTCCAATCCCTATAAGAAATACCTACCATAAACATTAAATTAAGGGCAATTATATTTTCGTGAAGCAAATTTTATTAATCACATACTCTAAAAACAAAGTCTACACTCTACAATCAGTACAATCGCTACATTCTAGGGTTATTTCTTAAAATTGAGGATGTACTAGCAGCATCCAAAAAATCCGAACATTGCAATCTATCTTTCTATGCATTTTCTTCATATAACCTAATTAAAAAACCTAGCTCTTCTGAGTTGATGACCCCATCATATCATGTTTTCCATACTATTGTTTGTCTCTTTTTAACCACTATTATCACTCTTACTTATTCTGTATTTTTGTATAGTTGTATTTGTATATTTCTTTTAAGAAAAATCTCTTAATCTAGTTTTTAGAATAGTAAATCGTCATCTGTTGGTGAATTATAAAAAATAAATTTACCTACATAAATAGTATACCTATAAACAATAGTCTGACATTTAATATAATTATTAGTTTAGTTAGATTATTGATATCATATAAGCGATAAATCGTTTAGGTAGTGTGTCTAACGTGATTTATCTTTATTGCATTATGAAAAAAAAAAATCTTCACAAAAATATTGTTAAATCAAAATTAATAAAGCATGAAAACAAATGTTTAATAACTGACTTGTAATTATTTTGGTAAGAATATCAATTACCAGTTGTAAACGAATAAACCACGAAAACTGAGGACGAATGGAGTAGTCGGAGCGCAAAAAGAAAGAACGGATGTCTAAGAATTTTTTAAAAATTTCTTTTGAAATATTTTATTGTACTTAGTACCTATTAAAAAAATTGTCAAAAAGTGTAGCAAGTATAGTAATACATTAATAAATAATTGTAAATTGTAATACAAGTATTTAATATTTAAATGACATATTCCATTTACGGGTGTAGCAGTACAATTTCTAGATAATATATTAACATAAAATATTTTATATAGGCAGGCAAGCAGTCGAATCATGCGACCCTTGGCCGTTGTCTGTAAATTGATATAATATTATTATGTACGTCCTATTATAAACTATATTTTTATTTATATCAATATTATTAATCTATTCTAATCAACAATTAAAGATGGTAAGATATAGTGTTTCTGTGGTGAGATGAGAAGTAGATAAACGTTGCCCGTTGGTCAACGTGAAACTGTGTACAATATTACGATCACTACCTAAATTATAGTTGAACAATTGAATCTATTCAATAATCAATGGTAGAAGTGTAGGCTGTAGAACACACCACAATATAATATTTTTTCGAGTGTTAAATTTGTTTGGCTGGATCTTTTACGTAACGAAGGATAATATTTAAAATATTTAATAATTGTATGACCATAAAATGTATCATGTTAATATCGTAATATGCAACTTACAATTTATATTATTGGTTTATTTACTCTACTACTCTACTATATGCTATTTTGTTTAGATCAAATACTATGTAATTTATAAAACATAATAGTTGGACATTATTGCTCAAATCTCAATTTTTTACTTCGTTTAATATTAAATCTAAACTCCACTTTTGGTTTTGATGACATAGGTAAGTAGGTATTGGTTACCGCCTGCCAGACGTGAAATTTCTAATTTCATATTACATAAATACAGTATTAGACCATAGTTGTTTTTAGATTAACAAGCTATATAAACTATTATTCACCATTTTTTTATTTTCACCATAGTTCTCATTATTATTATTTTTATAACACACTAAAGCACAGAATCACAAAAGCCAAAAGGTTTTGACTTTTTGCGCTAATAGGTAGTTGTAGTAGCCGAGTAGGTCCTCGTGAAACTAACAATAATGCAATTTTATCGACATCTACGACATCTAGCGGAATATCAATGTAAGGTTTTGTGCACCGAATGACTGGACTAAAACATTGTATATATTTCTGTATTGTAGGAGCCTGCTCTCTAGATGTGAGTGTTTAAATTTATTTTTTATCAATTAGTAGAGGATTTTTACGTGGAGGTCTTTGACTTATGGACAATTTATTTTAATTATCATTTATCAACATGTTCCAATGTTCGATAGTGAATATTATGCATCTATATTTTATGCAGAATCATTTTGATTATTTTGAATGAATATTCTGAATTTGAAGTCTATCATAATTCATATAATTATTCTTCCAATGTGTTAGTTAAATAGTTACAGTTATTGTTTTAACATTGGATATTTCTTAAATTGTAATACTAAAAGAAAGTTAGGTATATTTTTAAGAAAAATATTTCTGTGTAACATGAGTACAACGTTGCAAACTGAAGAGTTTCCAGTATGGGCATTGGTACCAAAAAAAGAAACGGGAGTCACAAACTTTTTGACCAAAAATCCATCTTATGATGGCCGTAATGTGACAATAGCTATATTTGATTCCGGTGTTGATCCTGGAGCCCCTGGTCTTAAAGTGAGAACTCTCGGGTTGTAATAGATAATTTATTAAATATTGTGATGCACATATTTTAGGTAACAAGTGAAGGAAAACCAAAAGTCATTGCTAGATATGACTGCAGTGGTGCCGGTGATGTTGATACTTCAACTGTAGTGACAGTTGAAGGAAATAAAATAAAGGGACTAAGTGGACGTACTCTTGTGGTGAGTACTCAATATCTTTAAGATTTTTACCTATGTCTATTACATCTATTTTTTAGATACCAAGTACTTGGAAGAATCCTACTGGAAAGTATCATATAGGTATAAAAAATGCATTTGAGTTATATACCAAAAATGTCCAAAAGCGAATTGAAGAAGAAAAGAAAGAAAAGGAATGGGATCCAATGCATAAACCATTATTATCAAAATCAATCATGGAACAACAAAATTTTAACAATGTAATTAATGAATATACTGTGTCTCTGGTTCTACTAATTGTATTGCATTTGCTCTAGGAAAATGATCCGTCTAAAGTCGTACTAACAAGAGACCTGAAATTAAGAAAGGATGATCTAGATAGCACGGTTGAAGCTTTACAAAGTTTAGAAAAAAAGTATAAATTTATCACACCAGTTTATGATTGTGTGGTTTTCCATGACGGGGTACAGTGGCTGTGAGTATCTTTATACTGTATTTATATACTGCTGTACAAAAATTAACTAGACTACCGTATCATATCAAATTGCATATTCTGTATGTAATATATCTTAACTACCAGATTTTATTTATCATTAAAATAATATATATTTAATACATTTATCCAATTTAAAATGTGATTATTATAATATAATTTGTTGTTTGCTTTTTTTAAACAACTTCAGATTTATTTTAATTAATAAAACAGTAATTCTATTTATTAGTATCGATAGACAGCCAACTTGAGTTAAAAAAAAGAGAATACAAAAATATGGTTGAATATTTCTTTATATTATATAAGTAGAATAGTTATTCTATATCAATGTTTCTCATCCATTTTACTGTGTCAACCCCCTCATTTTTTATTTAAATTTTTTTCATATACTCTCATAAATTATTATTAATAATCAATACTTGATTTACGGCAGTGGCCTAATTATAGGTTGATAATATTCAACATTTCTTTATACACTCTTCAATAAATATTAAATAATAAGTGTTTCTATTTTAATAAGTAATAATATATACTATTATTATGTAATATTGTAATATTTATTGATTTTATTTTTCATTACTTTATTTTATTATTTGATCTTTTTAATTTTTGAATTAAATTTAACTTTTAAATCATATGTAGTAACTAAATAATAAGTTGGCGACTCTCAGGTTGAGAAACACTGTTTTATACTAAACGTTTTGAAAACTAGTAGTTTAATATGTATATGACATGGTCCTGTACTTAGATAATTTTTTGCACAGATGGTAAGTCATTGATAGTACTTCAGTATGTAATGATATGTATTGAAAAATTAGCTATTTTTTAAAAATTTATCTGTTATTTATTAAACTAAAAATAAATGTTGAAAAGTTAATTGTTTTAAACATAATTATGCGTATAGGGCATGTTTGGATACTTCTGAAATAGGAGACTTGGCTTCGTGTAAACTTATGGGAGAATTTAGTGAAGATCCAGTAAATAATTTTGATTATATCACTGCTTCTGATCGAATGAGTTACTCGTTCAATGTGTATAATGATGGAGATGTATTGGAAATTGTATCTCTTGGGTGTAAGTATAAAATTAATTTTTTGAAAATTAAGGCAATATAAATAAAATAAAATTTTTGTTTAATGTGTATTAGCATCTCATGGGACACATGTATCTGCTATTGCTGCTGGTTGTTTTCCTGATGAACCAGACAGAAATGGAGTTGCCCCTGGTGCTCAAATTATATCCTTAACAATTGGTGATAGTCGTTTAGAGACAATGGAAACAGGAACTGCAATAGTCAGGGCAATGATTAAAGTTATGGAACTTAGAACGAAATTTAATATTGACGTTATAAATATGAGCTATGGAGAACACTCAAACTGGTCTCATGCTGGGTAATCTTGACTTTATTCTGGTTGAAAGATAATAAAATATGATTATGTATTATTTATAGGAGGATTGGTGATATTATGAATGATGTAGTAGACAAGTATGCAGTTACTTGGGTTGCTTCTGCTGGTAATCATGGACCAGCTTTAAGCACCGTAGGTGCTCCTCCAGATATTTCAAAAACAACAATTATAGGTAATAACCAAGGCTAGAAACTTCATAGAAATTAGTTTTATAATACTAGAAGTTTAAAAATTTTAAGTATATAGTATGTATTTTATACATTCTATATAATATTCACTAAGAATTTTCTAGAAATAATAATACAAATTATCTATCTGTGTTCTCCAAATTGTTATGAAAAACTAACTTAGTTAATAAGTAATATACTATTTACAATCGATTGATGTTGGTTTTTGTCTGTTAATATCATGTTTAAATATTAATTTTTTAGTGAAAAACAAATTAAAAACACATAATTTTAAAATATGTAATTTTTGGGCTTTTAAGAGCATTAAGTTCATTTTAGTAATAGCTATCAATAAATTGTTTTTCTTATAATAAAACACACTTGTTTATATTAAAGGAGTTGGAGCTTATGTATCACCAGAAATGATGACAACAGAATACTCTATGTCACAAACACAACCAGGGAATACTTATACATGGTCCTCAAGAGGACCAACAATTGATGGAGGTAGAGGAATAAGTGTATGTGCACCAGGCGGTGCAATAGCTTCTGTACCTGGATATATGCTAAGAGGAACACAGTTGATGAATGGTACAAGCATGTCTGCACCTCATGTAGCTGGAGCAACTGGTTAGTTATTCAATTAATTAAAATGTCATATATTTAAGTTATGGTTTTCTTTCAGCTGTATTAATATCCGGACTTAAAGCAAAGAATATTGATACCTGTCCTTATATGATAAAAAGAGCAATGGAAAACACAGCATGGTATAATGATAGAATTGATCACTTTTCACAAGGACATGGTTTATTACAAGTATAAAATCATAAAAATAATTATAATTGTTTTTATTAGGTTGTAATTTAAAAGAATTTCCATTTAAAAAAATATCCTTAAACAGTTTATAATAATACAATATTCATAACTTAAAAAAAAAAAATTACAAACTATTTAACACTTATTCCACATATAATTTACATTAACAGACACTTCTATTTAATGTTTTAACTTAGTTTTTATATACACTATATAAATTAAAATAATACAAATATTATAATGTAATTTAAATTTTATAGGTTGAAAAAGCATTTGATTATTTAACTCAATACTACACTGAACAAGAATCATATGTTAAGTTTATTTTATCTTGTGGTGTTCATGGTGGTAAGTTAGACGGAAAAGGAATACACATTAGAAATGCAATTGAAAACAAGGAGATCGACTGTAATATAAGCGTAGAACCAGTATTTTTAAAAAATGGAGATATCGGTAAGTTATTCTGTCATTTAATTTAAAGGTATACATTTTGAAAATTAGATTTTAATAATTATTAGAAATGCAGTATTGATTAATAATTTTTAATGGATTTACAAAAGATAAATATACATTATATTTAAGTATATATATAATTACCGTAGATTATATACTTAAATGTTTAAAATATCCTTCACATTCATATTTTGTTCCTTCTATTTTATCCCACATAACTATCCAATTGATTCCGTGAACTCTTTTACCTATAATCAAACAAAATAGTCTTTAAAAGTAAATATATTTTTTCATCTTAATTCTAAGAAATATTTGAATTTGGTTGTCTTTAAAAACATATTTCATTGAGATTGTACAAAGGATATTAATGAAAAATAAGAGAACAAGGATTTTGTTATTTTAATTTATATCAAAGTATTGAGTTTTATAAACATCTCTCCACTAATTTTGTTTAATAAATAAAAATAGCATTACCATCAAGACTCTTCCGTACAACATCTGCATATTCATGGCGAATGAATTTTATTCTAGCACATGTATTATTTTTCTTAATAAACACAATATTATTTGGAGTAACATGTTGACATAAGATTTTCCATATATCTTCTTCTGTTGTTTGGGAATTCATGTTTCTAATATGCAATTGTTTCATCTTAAAAAATTAATTAATTTTGTTAAATGTTATTAAAAAAAAATTAGTTTAAACGTGCATACTAACTCTCATTAAAACAGAGTGACGAAATACTGGTTCAGATTCTGCCCATTGAATCTTAATCGAAACTCCATTTATAAAAAATGGACTTTCTGCCATAGAGCGGCGAGCTAAAGCAGCACTTCTATGATCTTTGAATATTACAAAACAAAATTCTCTATTTTTGCTAGGATCATCTGTGTTATTAAATACTCGAACTTTCTTAACACCTTCCACACGTTTTTCAAATTCTATTTGTAATTGTTCTTCAGATAAATCCATAGGTATGTTCCTGGCAAATAATGTTCTGTTATCAGTAGACATGCTCACTAATAAGTGACCTCTGATACCAGGAAGAGTGAGTTCATTCAGTTTAGCCAAGGCAGTCTCTGCCTCCATAGGACTACTCATCATAACATAACCATATCCTCGATTTGAACCAGAAAAATGCATCATTAATCGAATTTGATGAACAGTTCCAAACTAATAAAAGTTTAATATAATAGTTTTTTTTAATTTATTAAAATATTTTAGATTTTACCTGTGAGAAAATAGCGTAAAGAAAACCTTCCAAACAAGCTTTTGGTAATGCAATGTATAGTTCACTACCACGTTTTGGTTCTTGTTTAATTGTTGGCAATAGTGTTTTTTGACCATTATTTTGAACAACATGTCTTTTATCAACTGAAATTAAACGTTGACCAATTTCTTCTATTTCAATCAAAGTTTTTGCTCTAGCAATAGCAGCACTTATTAAATCTTCACGTGAAGGCTATAAAATAATAACACTTTTTATTATATTCCTAGGAAAAAACAGTGAAATAGCTATGCTTACAATATATTTATCTTGAATTATTGAAGGAAATTTAAATACGTTGTCATTGTCATTTCCATTTGCAAATGATTCTGATGTCTGAGATGGTGGAGTGTAAGGTGATGAGATTGGTGAAAAAGACGATTGTGAATAACTTGATGTACTAGATATATACGAAGATTGTGAATATGGCGATAGCGGATAACGAGGTGTAGGCTGAAAAATGAATAACTCTAGTTAAATTTATGTATTTTCATCATGAATAAAATATATTACACTAATTTAAGTCTACTAAATGACAATTATAAATGTTAGTAAAAATCTTAATAATCCAAAAGTAATTATTCATTCAAGACTTAAATACAAACCGTGTAGTAATCGCAGAATAAAACATTGTTTTGAGGTGCACAATACATTTCCATTTTCATTCACAAGTTTTTAATTTTCAAATAGTTAAGAAATTCTAAACATAAAATTTAACAATTAATAAATACTTAGGAAGTCCCACAAATTGTATCTAGTTTTAAGTGCGATGACTATCATACGTAAAACTAGATCCTATTAAATATTATTTCTTATAAATACATTAATCATAACACTGGTTACTAAAGATACATAATGGTAAAAACTTTTAATCTAAAAATTTAAAAAAAGTAACAATATTCTGAATATCCTCTTAAGAGTTTCAAAAATATTTGAAGAAAAAATGAACAGAGTTACCAACTACATTATGTATAAAGATTAAATTATAAATGATTAAATAATCAATTAGTAAAAATAATAAATCGTTATATTATATATCGTAACACATTATTATGCTAGCAATAATTCACAAATCGATAAATAAATGTTTGCAATATAATTATTTTAGAATTATACAAAATAACAAAGTTACTGAGTAAGTGTAAATCAAAGTTTGTCAAAGGATAATTCGGTGATATTCATGTTGAGAAGCGACTTAAAAATACCTACCAAAATTAAGTAATTTATAATTATGTGGAAATAAAAAATAAATTGTAATAAATGATGAATGTAAAAACATACCAGTTAAATTTATAGGATGAAATGTTTATTAAGTGTATACACGTAATAGAGGCTATAATTATTTTGCTACAAAATATAAATTCTAAGATTTATTTATATTTCTTATCATTTTTTTTTGACCTACACCAGAGAATACAAAGATACAATATAACATAATCCATGTATATTAACTAAAAGTGTATTATTATTCATAATTAAAAATTATAAGGCAAAAAGTGTAAACAATTTCATAAATCATAAATTACAACAATAACTACTTGTTGTATCTCACAAATAATTTATTATGTTTATAAATACTTAAGAATCAACAAATTAATAAAAAATATTCAAAAAATAAAAATACAGCAATTTAAATCGAATCGGTTACGTAGTTCAGATATATTAAAATCATGACAAAATTGATCGAGTTTATCGAAACGTATATTATTCATTGTAACTAATCCTATTATTCAATAAATATTGATGGTAAAAAAATTTTACCACATAATGAACAAAATAAAATTGCAGTTTTTGCGGAGAAAAATAATGAAATAAAAATAGAACAATAAAATTAAGACTACTAATTACCCATGCAGGCGTGCTACTTAACGTATGAACTAACACAATAATAGAAATAATAAAAACAAAAAATAAAATAATCTCTTACCTTATGGTTCAGAAAAAATATCAACAAAATAATACGACGATCATCAAACGGTTATAATAATTAATAATATCCATTAAATGGATTCAGTAGTGACGAGAGCAGTTAAAGTAGTAATATCGGTTATCTTCTTTCCGTGTATATAAATATTGCAGTATTGTACGGTTAAAACAAAACGAGGAAATAATAATAGGATCCGCGTTTAGAAGACTAGGTAAAAATAAAAGACAGTGCAAAGACGATCTTGCTGGAACCGTCATCGGCTTTCAAGTGAACAATGAACAGTGGTAGGCAGCAGCGACTCACGATTCCTTATGAACATTAACCAAACTCCGCGCGTCAGTCGGCACGCGCGATCCTACTATGTTTTTGTTTTCGTCATCGGCGATTGTCGTCATAGTCGGTTTTCCACGAATTGGCGACAACAATAATAATACATCGAAGTTCATTTAATTATATTTGTATCAATAATACGGTAAACGGTTCCTTTTAAACCATATAATATCATTGAATTTCTATACAACACCGAAGGATCAAAAATAATTGGTATTTTATTTTTATTACGAGGTGGGTAGGAATCTCACCATTGGCAATAGTTGATTTGTTATTTTTATCTTTAGTTTCCTTTAAAAACAAAATTTTTCTTTGCTTTAGTTGTAAAATATGTTTAATACTTTAGTTTATTTTCAGATTACGTCCTCTCCATAAAGTGCATTCGTGCATCGAAACATCGCATTTAAATTACTTATTGGTTTTTATTTGCTATAACAGAATTATCAAAAGACGGTTAAAATCCTACAAGCAAATATTTTCTTTAGATTGCACATTTGTTGCCTATTTCGATAGACTATTATGTATCTGTACATTGATATATAAAATATGTGTCCTCTACCCACCTCATCGACAATGATTACGCATCCTTAAACCGTCTAAATTTGATGCCTATCGTCTCTACAAATGTAATTATTTTTATGGAAAATAGTGAAAAGATTTCTAAGCTACTGATATTTACGTGTTGTTTTGTTTACCTACAAATAATTTACAGTCAACTATTCAATAGTATATTAAATTTATTAATATCCCAATTCCTAAACATAAAATATTTAATTTGAGACCGGATTTGACGTGAATTGTTTTGAATAATATCTAAAAATAATATGCATTTGTCTACAAAACAGGTTTTTATATTGGGTATAAAAATAACACTGAACAATCTGTGTTATTAACTCGTATCTAATCTTATCGAAGACACGTAGTAAAAAAAAAATAAACTTCCTTTTGAGAAAAATACTTATTTATAAGAAGACGCCATGTGTGATATCTACTTATTTGAGTTATTAATGCACATCATAGCAAATTTGAGTTTGGTTGAATTATTTTGAGTGGTTAGTAATTGCTAATATTACTATAATTAGACCAAATTACCTACTGGCTACTACACTTCATAGTTAGTAAACTTTGTATGTTAGATTTTTACAATATTTCAATTTTTAAACAAAATATTCACATATAATATATAATAAAATGCTTTTAACTCACTTTAAAATTGAAAATCTACTTACAAAAATTCTAACACTTTAACTGAATTATTTTTATTATTGAATCGTATTAACTCTAGATGATAACAATACATACGGGTCAGCGGCATAGTCTTACATAATGAAAATTATTGATGAATTTAAACGAAAATAATTTTATTCCAAAAATTATGAATTTAATACTATCGCGATTCCTAAAGCACTAATATTTCGCTTTTAATGGATACTTGGTAATTTAACAACGACATCTGTGGTACAAGAAAGGGAGAAACACTGGAAATTTTCTTTATCGGGTTTTCCTCGGTAAAAATACTCATTAAAATAATTGTTTTCGGAAAAAAACATTTCTCATTCAGACTATTCCTTAAAATTCAGTAAACACTTTTTTTTTTATTAATAACATGATAGCTTAATTATTACAAAAGGCGAAATCAGAGAATATTAATTACAGCATATAATATTAAAATAAAGCCAGCATTCAATGTAACAGAAATTTTAATTTTAATAGTAACTATGGATTTTTTATTGAGTGTGGAGTAGAGATTAAAAGAAGTATTGGGAGTTTTAAGTGACTTTAATAAAATTAGACATTTACCCTGCAGATCAGGACAATAAAATAAAATATACAGTAGTCCTAGTGTCAAAATCATAGAAGTTAAAAGCAGAATACTCGCGTGCAGACGTCTCATTTGTACATCAAAATGTCTGTAAAATATGTTTGTTAATTCAATCACAAAATAACTGCTAAAAAGAAGATATTATATACTTTATATTTTACACCAGTTCAAAATCACTAAAATTTACTAATTAAATTACTATTTTTAAAAATTCTTACGAATGGTTAAAAACTTGTTGGCCAAGGTTCTAATCTTGACCGATTAATTTGTTGGGTGGTATTCTTAGGTACTTAACTGTCACTATTCATTCCGCTATTGTAAATAAGTATTAATAAATATTTTAAAGTCAGTTTTAAATTATAATTATTTTTAGTTGAAAAATATGTATATACCTGATCACGTATGTGTAATGTGTGTTACATTATGATAATATTACGAGTCAAGGTATTTAAGACATAAATTTTGTGTATAGTCGAATAAATTGATATTCGGTATAACATTTTACATTCATATATTTTAGTTTTGAACATTATTATTTATTAGTTGATTATTAACGTCTTATATTTCTAATAAAGTAGTTAATAATACTTTTTAAGTATTTTAACATTTTTAATTTTATTTTCGCATCTTGCATAATGTATTTTATGTATTAGGTATATATGCTTTATATTCTTTATAACTAAGTTATTATTTTAGTTCATATTTTTTCGATGGAATATGTAAAATTAGTTATAAACTGAATTATTTTTTATAAAAGAAATCAAAATTGTTGTTATTTATCGTAAATCATATCGTTTAATAAATTGTTATCGTTACAGACCCTCAAAAGAAAATAAATTTCCAAATGAGCTTGTGCTTAACGAGCGACGTCTCGTGGGTGAGTGTACCCAAATATTTGGAATTAATGTATATGTTACGAAGCTTTAACATAAAAGTCGATCCGAGTGGATTGCATCCAGGAGTGCATACAACTACGTAAGTTGCAATATATCATCACGACAAATTTATTACATAATCATCGGATACGGTCAAACGAAGCATTTACTGTCCCTGTCTAGTTTTTAATGACTCCTCATGAGAAAAAAAAGTTGTAATACAATACTACAAAAATTATTTATAGTCAATATTATTAACCATGTTCATTATTCGTCCATAATTTTCTGTAGTAACTGGTTTTTCTTATTAGGTTTATTCTATAGTTTTTATTAGTAATGTTAACTGTTATGGGTATTTATATTTTTACGTTATGGTGTATCGACAAATTTCTAATTTTATAAATACCCAATAATACAGTCCACAATATTGAGAAATAAATTAAATACCTTTAATACTACTTAATAAATAATAAGTCACTAGTCGGGAAATAATTTTTGTTGTTTAAATCAAAAACCATGGTCCATGGGCCATTAACATATTTGTAAAATAGCTGACAAATATTTTTAATTGACCATCATACTTTATGCATTATGTTAAGACTAAGTAATATTATGCTTAAGTAATATTTAGTATTTTGTTTTTAACAGCATACGGGCTTATGACACAAAAAATACGGCAAAAGGCCCGGTGTTTACATTTGAAGTGACTATTGTTCGGCCATTGGTAACCGATCATTCCGGTTTATTGTCTCATGACAACGTTGATTTCAATGCAAATTCTCTAATAAAAAGAAATTTTGTGTTAGTGCCTAAAAATGTTTCATGGGCCAGTGAGTAAAATTATAATTTTATTATAATAATATATTAATATCACAAGCATTTATAAAATTTTCTTATTCGAATTAAAAACTTATTTTAATATTTCCAGCTCTTCACATAAAACATCTTGACACCGATGTTAACGCTAATTTCTGTCTGCATAGCGTTCAATTGTTGCCTCAAAAATCATGCAAATACATGGAGTATTGCAAGATGTTTATCATGAAATCAAACGAATTCCAAGCACATTTTGCCGTTGAGGTATGTTTTAACTATAATGTCAATATGACATTAAATATATATATATTTACATGATATAATTTAAAGTCTTTAATATTGTATGGATAGTATAACTAAGGGGTGTAAATAAATATTATTCACTTGTGTATATTGAAACGTAATTAAAATATTATAATGTGATTTGAACATAAATACCTATTTAGGTATAACAGTATCATTAAAGCATAATAATGACCTGGATTTATTATTTGGTGTTTTGTAATTTGTATAGCCTATATGGTAAATTAATAGTGTTATAATATATATGTTTATTAATTGACCACATTATAAAAGAATATAAGAAAAAAATGTTATTTTTTTAAAAAAAACTGCATTTATGTGTGAAATATTTTAAATACTGTATTTTAATTTAATCAAAATTTGAACTAGTTATCACAATATTACGTAATAAACTAAAATTTTTAAATATATCTTTCAAAGAAATAAGAAATTATTGTTTTGATATATTTTATAGTTACTTCGTATCAATAGAAATTTCAGGTAAATTGAAAATTATGTGTTATAGAAAATACTAAAATTAATTTTGTGGTAAATTCTTCGAATGTCGTTGAGACTTGAGAGCTATTTATTCAAGAACGATTTTTTCAAAATATTCAAAGAACAGATTATTTTCTTTAGTTAAACAGAATTATCAATTTCCAGTTTCCTCTAAAGTATACCTCTAACAGGAAAATTAATTAATTTATTATTAAATTTAATCATTCTCAAAATTGTAAGTGATTCGTATACCAGATCTGATAGTGGCTGCTGACCATTTCATAATAATTTTTGATAAAATGTATTGTAAAGAAACTATTGTAACTTTTCTACGAAATATCGTCATTCTCTAACAACTGATTATTATCAAAATTCAAAAACCATGAATATCAATAACAATTTATGAGGATGATTGAAAAATATTCATCGATTAGAAATTTTGAAAAAATAAAAAACAATATGTGTTATACATTAATACCATAGATTAAGTATATTCAATCCATGTCAATACTTTATATAAATATGATTACATAATACACAATATACATACGTTTTTATAATCTAATTTTTGATCCAATTTTATTTTATTTTATTTTGAAGAAATTACTATAAGTAATGTTATAATATTGATATATTTTATTCGTATAGTTATTAGTATTATTACTTATATATTTATTAACTATGATAATAAATTTATTTTGCAATAATGTCAAAAATTAGGTAATAATATTTT